AACTCACCGAAAGCAACCTTACTACCAATCTTAAAAAATATCGCCCCTTGTAACCAAGAGCGACATCTTTCTATAAAACCGACAACAATTCCGCAACACACGGAAAACAAGAATATCCATAAACGGGAAGACGGCACCCAAAATCAAGTTAATATCTTAACAACGAGACATGCCACCAACACAACACACACAGCAACACGAAGCCAAATCAAATCGTAAAACAACCAAACCATCGAAAAATAAATTAGCCCACCACATGCGTACTACACACACCACCAAACCAACACCACATACACAAACCAAAACACCACAAAACTCAGATCAAACCAAAAAAGGGTTATGCACAAACAAGTTGATAACTCCCTCAACACACACACTATCAACACAAAAAATACCTCACAATAGAGGCTTAAGAAAAACAATACAACAAAACCAAACTTAAACAATAAACCAACCACAGCCAGACACAATTAACCAATACGCATACACCCTTCCGATAAAACACAAACATGGGAAAATCAAAATATTTGAAATTCTGACTATTAAACCCTACATTCAAGTTAATATCTCAACAACAAGATATGCCACCAACATAATACACACACCAACAGAAAGCTAAAGTATTAAACAAGCCACTTGAACCAATAAAAAAACAATTCACCCACCATAGACCCACCCTAGACACCACCAAACTCACACCAGCTTAACAAATCGAAAATACCGCAAACGCGGAAAACACCAAAAACACGACCAAACACGAACAAGTTAACAACTATTCTTATACGCACAATATGAACATAAAATATACCTGACCATGAAGCTAAAACAATGAACAAAACAACCAAATTAAATCTCAACATTGAACTGACCATACCCTGATGCAATTAACCAATACGCATTACACCCATTCGATAAAAACCGAATATAGAAAATCGAAATATTTGAAAAGCGGACCATCATGCCCCACACTCAAGTTAATATCTCAACAACAAGATATGCTAACAACATAATACATATACCAACTGAAAGCTAAAACATCAAGCAGATTTCCTGAACCACCAAAATGCAATTTACACACAATAGACCTACCCGAGACACCGTCAAACTCACACCAACTTAACAAATCGAAAATATCGCAAAATGCGGAAAAATAAAAAATACAACCATACACGAACAAGTTAATGCCTCTTCGAACACACACGATATCAACACAAAATACACATGACAATGAAGCGCAATGAACAAAACAACCGAACCAACACCGAACTGTCCATACCCCAATACAATAACCAATACACCCATTTGATAAAAACCAAATACAATAAAATCGAAATATTTGAAATACGGACCACTAAATGGAACATTTAAGTTAATATCTCAACAACAAGATATACTACCAACAGAATACATATACCTACCAGGAAAGCTGAAACATTAAACAAATCACCTGAACCACCAAAAACCCATTTATCCACCTTAGACCTGACGAATGCGAAACTAGCTTTTCGAGTTGGCAGTAACGTGAGATTTGTTCCATGAATAAATGACTAAAAAGCAAAAGTATGTTTATTTATGTTCTTAATTTCAAAGTAGCATATCTGTCGAATAGTTGAGTATGCATTTAAATTGCTCAAAATAAATCGTTTGTGGGTAAACTAGCCCCAGGAAAATGGCATATATTTCCTAAGATTTTTTACCAATGATTGCCATAGCCATTTTAAAATATATGCTACCACCCCTAGCTTACATATATTGAGCTAATCCAATTATGTAATGGTTACTAAACAAAACAAATCCGAAGGTCTACCGCAACAAATGATATGATATGTAAGATGTGCTCGTTAAATACTTCATTGCTCTTGATGTGAGATGTTGTAGACAGTGTTAATGCAATTTACGTTCATGATCTATAAATTAAATTCGTAAACTTAATATCAAAAGTGCTAATATACGCCCCATCTTTTGAAAATGTTCGAAACTTTACTACGATATGATAGAAGCGCGTGTTTAATATTGTATTGCCCTTGATGTAATATGTTGAGGTCGGGGTTAATGCAATACGTTCATAATATATCAATCAGAATAAGAGTGGAGAGCTTTTGGTTAATGTCATCGAGCGTCCAGAATGGAGCGTCCTGAATACAAGCGTCGGGTTAAATAGTAGCGTTCAGAATAGAGCGTCCTGATTGCAGAAACCGATCGGTTAAATAGCGTCCAGAATAGAGCGTCCTGATTGCTGAAAGCGACCGGTTAAATAGCGTCCAGAATAGAGCGTCCAGAATGGAGCGTCTGGAATAGAGCGTCTGGAATCGATAGCGTCCGGTTTAATAGTGAGCGTCCAGAATGGAGCGTCTGGAATAGAGCGTCTGGAATCGATAGCGTCCGGTTTAATAGTGAGCGTCCAGAATGGAGCGTCCTGAATAGATAGCGTTCGGTTTCAGAGCGTCCAGAATAGATAGCGTCGGGAATAGGTAAATAGCGTCTGGAATAGAACATTAGCGTCAGGAATGGAGAGCGTTCGCTTTTAGAGCGTCTGGAATAAAGAGCACACGAAATCGTACATTTTCGTGCACCTAAATTGCGAAATTATGTCTGTAAACTTTTGACACAGAATTTACACCATATTTTCTTGGTAGGGGATAACGCATTCAGCCTCAGTGATCACATGCAGAAGCCCTATGGACATAGAACCCTCACTAGAGAGGAAATAATTCTAAACTACCGGTTATCGAGGGCTAGGAGCAGTTTCAGAAAACGCCTTTGGAATTTTGGCCAACCGATTCCAGGTACATTGTAATTTATAATATTTGTCTGCGAAACAAACAGTTAAACTCCAAGTTCCTGGGACTATCTAGATACGTTTATTCGACTTCGAGTAAATGAGACTTCATTCGAACTTCCGCTAATTGAGACATGAAAATAGTATGTTTTGTTTGATAAATGATTAGAAAGATGCGTATAAAATAAATTGGAACCAACCGAGTTCCACATTCGACCTATAACAGTTTAACTATTAATCCGTATTTTCAAATTAATTCAATTTAACGCATAATAACATTTCAGGTACTCCTCTCAACGATGAACCATAAGCCATCCACAGCGAGGCTGATAGTCAAGACATGCTGCATTCTCCACAACTTGATGAGAATGAGGTACCCTACAATGCAAAATGCACTGATTGACCAAGAGGACAGAAGAGGCGACATGGTTCCTGGGGAATGGAGGAGAGATCGCAACTTGGAAGATGTCAGGGCTGTCAATATCAGAGGCCACAACACAGCAAACAAAAAGGGGAAGATTGTGAGAAATACTCTGAAGCACTGGGTCAACTCTCGAGCAGGAAGTGTACCATGGCAAGACAGGATCGTGCCAAATTAAAGGTTGGACTTTGAGAAATAATCTAAAGCACTGTGTCAACTTGAAATTAAGTGTAATTTGCCTGACATAAATTGTAAAAACTAGTTTAAACGTATTTTTGTTTTACGAGTCTAATAATAAGAAATGTATTGATATAATCTCAAAGGGAAAATACTAAACATGATCAGAAAACACAAGAGAAACAAAATCGTTAAGCGAATATTGTCATTAAAAACAAACCCCAACTATCCCAAATGAAATTCAAGCGTCAACAGGAACAGTGTCCAACACCCCTCCCCTTCCATTCTAATATCAAATATTACGACCCAAAACCATAAAACATAGGGATATTTCATTCAAACTGAAGTAATTACAATAATTGCTTGGCATGGTAACCAATTGTACGTGTTAATAACATTCCCAAAGGATGATCACTGTATGAATTTCAAATCTGTGTTGACTACGCGTACGACCTCTTAATTAAGGTAGACTATGTTAGAAATGTCAGAAGAGCCATATTAAATACAGAGTGACACCAAAAATGCCACCCACTTATTTCAGAATGACTTTCTTTTATGTGTAGATAGAGTGTTCAATGGAAGAAAGATTGGTATGCTTGCATTGCATCAATAACTAAGAATAAAGAGATATCAGATTTTCCGCGGAGGCATGCTCTGACACAAAATCGTTCGAAAATGTAATTTAGAAATCTTTCTTTTTTTAAATTTACTTAAAAAGTGAGTCAGTTCCTCAAATATAGCACAAATTATGAAGGAAAATGGGTAATTATGACATTTAAATGATAAAATATGTGAAAGCAATACAGAAATGACACAAATAATGGCTAAGAAAGAAATCTCAATTTCAGAAAATTGTATTTGATGCAATTCAAGTACATCAATCTTTGATAAAAAAAATACGAAGATTCCGTCGTTATTGACAAAGTTATTCCAGAATAAGTGGGTGGCATTTTTTGTGTCACCCTGTATATTGGCACGGCAACAGAACATATTGCCAAAAATCTGCTTGATTTATATATGATAGTGTGGTTTTGTCAAGTAAATTGACCCTTACACTTTTTGCAAAGGTTCGTTTAGATTCGGAAGCATGCGCACAATTGCGCTTTGGTTCGCATGTATGCGTTGTTAATCGCTGACGGGAATCGCTGACGCCTCCTGCTTTTCGTAAGGCTTTGTTCAGATTCGGAAGAATGCGCATAATTACGCTTTATTTCGCATGTATGCTTTATTACTCGCTGAACGGGATGTCAAAGGTTGTTTGCGAGACGCAACGCATCTTAGCAAAGAAAAGTAGTAATTCGTCACACTTCGTAAAACATTCGCAACAAATAGTTACCTTACATTACTATCCGTTATGTTTTCTATTATATAACATATTTGTAAACATTTTCGCTCAATATTCGCCAGAAATGACTAATTTACCACATGCGTCAGGCTGCGTTTGGTGGATTCGTTCATATGTGAGGGGGCCTTAAAACTTGATATTAAACTTGATATTTTCAGTTTTCATACTCTGGATAGATAACAAATCTAAATATAGGACTGGGATGCTGTGCAATTTAATGGGGACTTCTAATTCATGTGCTTCTGTGATATTCCTCCGCAGAATAAGTATTCACTTACCATGGCATCATATCCCATTTCGTTCATAAACTGCGAAGTTGCACGTCCCTCAAACGCATAAAACCAAATTGTTCCCTGGAACTGATCTCCTGCGTCCAAAAATATAACATTCTCGTGATTTTCACGAATGTCTTTAACTGCTGTAAATCGGCGAGCTACGCCACCAAAACATTTATTCGCATCCTTTTCTTTCTGAGGGCATGGTCCACCCAATCTGTCGGATTCTTCAATTCTAGCGTGACAGTCATTTGTATGTATTACTGTTACGTTGAAGCCCAGTGATACGGCACAAAGCGTAAGCGCAATCACAAGCGGCAAATACATAATATAAGCATGCATGGCTTTCCTGAGAAAAACGCTGGCGTCCTACTTCAATCTGCAAAATGTATGTCCGTTCGTCTTTAAAGCCTCCGTGTTTCAACAGTGTTGCGATTGTTGGCACATAATTTAATACCGAAATACAAAAGTCAGATTATCGTTACGTGCAGTCTGCAATGAGCAATTTAGTTTTTTACAGGATTAACATATATTTATTTGGATGAATTAATGTCATGATAATTAGTAAATGTGGTTAGCTAGAATGAGCCTTTAAGAAAAAAGTAAATGCGATCCAGGCCGAATCTTATAAAATAACCGAGTTCAGATCAAATCGCGTGCGATGTACTGTAGTATTAGAAAAGGGGTCGTTTCATCATTTCAGATAGAGTTAAATTTTTAGAATGTACAAACTTGGAATTTGTACTAGATTGTACGATTTACTGCTCGTCAGAAGCAAAGGGGTAACATTTAAAAGTGTTAACACCTTTCAGCAACTTTTAACCATATCGGAAAAGAACGGGTCAATCTTCTAAAATAAGTAGTTATTACTGTAGCCTCAATCACATTTGCTCTACGGCGGCCGTAGCTTACATGTTATGGTGCATGTTTCTCTCGATTTTTAGAAGCTACGGCCGTCGTACGGTTGCCATAGATCAAATGTGACAGAAGCAAAACATAGCCTCTGGGCCTCCTCATGGTTATCTATACAACATATTTCAAAATAACATGTATACCTCCGAGCCCCCTCAAAATCCAGTGGCCTTTTCTAATACATCGCCCCTCATAAGTTTGGCTTCATATGTTGCGTTTGATAAAGCATAATGTTTGAATACTTATATTGTTACTTTATTACAAAACAAAATGTTGAGATTTACAATTCGATGTATTCATACATCTTCATCAGGTAAACCATTACATTATCATTACCATCATTTACCTGATGAAAATGTATGGATACATCGAAAATTTGTAAATCTCAACATTTTGTTTTGTTTTTAACACTAATTAACATATTACGTTAATTTATTACGACAGTGTCAGAAATGTATATTGAGACAAAGATGAAATGTTCACCAAATCAGGCTTAGCACGCAGAAGGATACTTCCGGTTGCTAACTTGCTATACTTATTGAGGGGGTTGTACATAATATATAATCCACTAAGCATAGCTGTTCTGTGCTAAGGGCCAATACTTTTGCAATGATTTTGATCATTCTAGATACTTAGATTCAGACAATACTGGCAGAGGTTAAGCTAACCAGCTTATAGAAACGCAAGAATTTGCTTAAAGGGAAACCAATATTAAGACCACCCTTTTCGAGAATATGATTTGTATTAAAGGGGGATTCATGACATCTACACACATCTACATACATACACCTTTTCATTCATGTACTTACCAAAATCCAACCAATGGTGATGCTTATAATTACAATGATAGGACTAATTTTCTTGCATGAAATGCCACTCTGGCGGAAGGATCAATAAGTTGTATGTCCCTGTTATCATCCTTTATTCAAAGGACTTCCTTTATTACTCAATTATGGAAAGAAGTGAAATACCCTTCGACCAAAGATGTGAGATATGTCCTGATATCGTTTTCAACTTAATCGCATTGCTCCCTTTCAGTGATTACTGGCAGGAGAAACTTTTCATATGGTAAAACGAGAAAAACGATATCTTTTTTAAATGAGGAAAACATTTTTGAAAGTCCAAGGAGACGGACTTTTAATCGATTATATTTCGGTTTAATCCAAATTTTTGTGCTTCAGTCCTAACGTGAATATTCCCAGTCAAAAATAGAACTGTCCAAAACTGTTTGCGATACACTACGTGGTCCTTTCTTAAGCATCATTTAAACTGGAAACATATTTGTGATACACCCCAGATCAGCTAACTTTAACACAATTGTCACGTTTTGGGAGTAAATAATACAATTCACATTTATTTATAAATTATTCACAAGTTCTGTTGGGTTTAAAAAACTGGTCATTCTAGGTGATAGATATGTTTATAGAGCGCCGAACCGGATTTTTCCCGGAGAAAATTTTGTACCTCTCTGTAAAACTACTTATTGATTGAAAGTTTCGCCTCTAAGTGAAAATATCATCATGTATTAATTAAGAATTTTGCTCTGGCCCCTAAACTCTATTTTATTTGAAGTAAAAATTAACCTTAGTGAACACATATTTTTTGAAAAGAATATATACAATGTTAAAGGATAGAAACAGTTTCTTATCAATTGAAAAGAACATTTTTTCATACAAAAAAACTGAATAGTTACCTATTTTAGACACAATGAATATTTATTCTGTATATTTGCATAATATAGGAAAGTATTAAATACATTTTAATTCATATTGAATTTTATATAGACTGCTTTTAAAATGTGTCAACACGCAACATTTTAAATTGTTAAAATTTTAAATCCAAAAATTGTTTATCAACTTACACCCCATGTAATAAAATCACAAAAAGTGAATATCTTGTATTGGACAGATAATATTTACTTTTACGGGACATATTTCAAACTGCAAAACTATTAGATACACAAGGGTGAAAATTGAACCACTAAAAACTGATGAATATTCAAGTTAAAGGGAACTGTCTACTATACCTGACACGCTATCTGACGAACCGAATTAGCCACCTGGTGGTAAAACGGGTAACTAACTACTCGCATCTGGGTTGTCATTGGCTTGTCCTGAACTCGTATAGATGGCAGGTTATTGCTCATTTTATGGGATTTTGTTGATTTGAAAGTCTAAAAGTTTACAAAATATAATTCCTAAGACGCTTTAGAAATGTTGGTGTAATCAGAATGGCGATTTTGTAAAGCGCCTTCCACTAAAACGTTTTAGCGGATTTTGTGCTGTAATTCCAGCAACTAGTGACAAGGGTATTTGGAGTTTTAAAAAAGCGCTTTTATAAAACCGCAATCGTGATTACACCTAATTCTTAAACCTGGTTAAAACCGAAGAAGCTTTTGTAAAACGCCATGTGTAATATTCCACTCCAGCAATTGACTTAGGTGGACGCATGGTGAGCGCAGTGTTCAGTCCAAAGTGAACATGTTGGGGAGATCCTAGTTTGATGAGTTTGTAAAAACAGTTACTGGCCGGGGGCTTTTTACGGTCAGCGAAGTGTGTAGGCTTATCTTTTATAACGCAACCAAATTAACCATTTTTGAGGCAGGACGCCCTTGTATTGCTTTAGGAGGATAAGATGCTTAGCCATATCTTTCTCACCACTGTGCTTACGTTTTGTAGTGTAGCATCAGGTTTTAACATAACAGTAATTCATACAAATGACGTTCATGCCAGAATAGACGAGTCGAACAAATATGGCGGGCCATGCTCGCAGGGGGACAAAGATGAAGATAAATGTTTTGGAGGCGTTGCTCGCCGTTTTACAGCAGTAAAAGACATTCGAGATAAACATGACAATGTTATATTTCTTGACGCCGGTGATCAGTTTCAAGGGACAATCTGGTTTTCTACTTTTGAGGGCCGTGCAACATCGAGGTTTATGAATGAAATGCGATATGACGCCATGGTGAGTGTAGACTATATGATCCTATTTAGTCTGAATTATATTCAGACTATAAGGCACCTATGTTAAAGTTTGGTAATATGAAATATTTGTTTACATAGGAAGTGCTATTCAAAATGGCCGATTGGTAAAATTAATTTGCTCATTTGTTACTTCAACTAGCTTTATTTCCACTTGACAATATGCTGTGTTACTTTTTATTGCATTTAATTGTACCTTACTATTTAATTGAAATTTTGTAATGTTTATTTTATTGAAGAAATGGTTCCTCTAATTGATAATTTTGTGCAAAAAAATTCACTGCAATTTCCACAGGAAAGTAGTACATCATAACAGACTGACTTCTAGTCAGTCTGTTGGATACATACTAATGGTGAGTGCATTTAAAGATTCAATCTACAAGTTGTAGAAACGACCATAAATGTCACGTTTACAGGAATTATCGAAGGAAAGCTTTTAAGGTGGTTCTCGGTAAGTTCATGTTGGCTTCCGACCTAATTTGAGTTCTGTGTTATTTTTTAACTTAATGAGCAATATTAGTATTTACCTATATGTTACAAAGGCCTGTGGCCAAATGCTGAAACTTCGTGAAAATTTTCTATATAAATGGTTTACATGTATTTATAGTGTCCTATAGGTCGTTGTCGGCCTGGGGTGTTTTAATTGTATTTTATATGTTTTATAACTCATGGCACTTTAATAAAATAAATAAATAAATATAAAGTACGAAGACGAAGCTCTCCACTAGAAGCGAAGTCAAACGAATGAAAAGGTAATTTTTCCTTTTCTAGAATACTCATCAATGCTTAATTGATGAGTTAGATATATTCATGCACTCCTTATATAAAATTGAAAGATGTAAGTAGGACCATGATGGAATTATTTACATGTACCCTAAAATAAAATGGGACTCCAATGGAAGCCATTAATATTTCTGAACATACGAAACTACCTTAAGCTACGAAGTTTACGTAATACCACAATCGACGGAACCTCCCATGTTCAGACCTTGCAAAGAAAGTACTAAAGGACTGATATAAAGCCAGGATCCTCAACGATTCCCATTCCAACCAAAAGTTTGTCAATCGTACGTGGCACGCTATCTAGTTGGGACTCAGAACTGGGGCTCTACATGTATAAAAAATATGTTAAAATCTAAAATGTCTGGAAAATCATGTATATTGGATTTTTATGTGCGCCATTAATCTGGGTGAATTTGGCAAGTACTTAAGATAACAGTTCACTGCTCTACTAATATCCTGTGCATCGCTCAGCAAATGGATATCTCGTCCAAAATTTAAAATCCAAAGTGATAATAATAGTTAGGGAAATGTTAATCCGACCGAATATCAGCGTGTGGTGTACATAGATCCCAAAATATGACATGAAACCATCCTCCGATTATAAAATAATTTGGCAACTGAAACATCCTATTGTTGGTAAATATCATACCACGAGAGCTACACAAAGCAATATTCCAATGCTAATTTTGTTCGCAATTTAATGTTTGCTATTTTGCATAGGCCTATGTTTATTTTTTTATGCTTTTCCATTACATAGTTTAACCAATATAGGTATTTTCTCTCAGTAAATTATAGTTCTATGACCTTGACCTCCTCTCCTAATTTGGCATATATTTTCTCCCAATATCGCATAGTTTCCATGAGTTTTCTCTTATCACTATGGTTATGACAGTCATATCTCAATGTGACATATTTATCTCTCAATGTTTTTGATTGTTGCTTCGTTTTTCTTTCACCACAACCAAAAGAGGCGACATATTGTTCTAGTCTCGGCGTTTTGGTATAAACGTGTTCGGTGGTTGGTGTTCTGTGTTATGCGGTCGGAGCAAGGGAAAGATCAATACCCGGTGATTTCAGCGGGAAGTGGCTTTTCGTTCAGTGGATGAGCTGCGCGCGCACGCATAAATGTGATTATCCAATATAATTGGCTATAAGCACAGTGACCTACAGAGGGCGCTATCACAAACAAGTACTGCACGAACCGATAAATTCCCGGGTATTGTAACGCCCTTGGTCGGAGTATATAACAAATGTCAACAAAATAACAAGTGTCTCTTAGTATAACGTTGTAGTTTTCTCTCCTAATGATAGTCTTAATGTGACATTTTTTTCTAAAATATTACATGACATTCTCCTTGTGGTTTTATTTTACTATCGCCTTCCAAAATATCGTAGTTTTCTCCCAACATGGCAAATTTATTCGACTGTGAAATGCTTTGCTCAACATGGCATAGATGTCTCTAAATTTTGCATCTTTTTCTGAAATCTATTATCCCATTCCAGGCTTTAGGGAACCATGAATTTGACAACCATCTTGAAGGCTTGATCCCATTCATCAATAACGTCACATTCCCCATCCTCGCTGCTAACATTGACGCCTCTGATGAACCGACATTCCAAGGTCTCGTGGAGAAGTCCACAGTCTTGACGGTGGCTGGAGAGAAGATAGGAGTAGTAGGGTATCTGACATCTGAGATGCCTGCACTGTCTCAACGGTTTGGTTAGTATATTCGAAACTGCTGTAAAAAAATGAAGGCCCCATATTTTCCGAAATAAATTTCTGCCTCGATCACATTTGCTCTACGGCGACTATACAGCGACTGTAGTCACCCGAAATCGAGAAATACCTATTTAGAAGCGGTTGCTGTAGGGTCACCATATACCTTTTTCGCCTCACAGTCAACGCTTGGTCAACGCACGCCCCCGTCACTTGTGATCGCCTTGCGTATTCCTTAGTTTTTTGTCAAAAACCTTGGGTTATCTGTCTTCACAAATTCAAAAATTGCCGTACGGTTGCCGAAGCAAATGTGACTGTTGTAATGTAAACTTTTTGATCATTTCAAGTTCCGTGCTTTATTTTAGGAAAGCTGAAATTCTTGGATGAAGTGTCGACAATTCAGGCAGAGGTCGACAGACTGACAGCTCAGGGAATCAACAAGATTATAGCACTCGGTCATTCTGGATATAAAACAGATAAAGAGATAGCCAAGCAAGTTACTGGTGTCGATTTGGTGATTGGAGGGCACACAAATAATTTCTTATTTAATGGTAATTTTCCACTCTGCAGCTCACATATTTTGTTGCGTTTGAAAATACTTCATTTAACTTTTGACGAAAATAACGCTAACTTGGAAAATATTCAAACTGATAAATGACCAACGGAGTATAAATAAAGATATCCTGTTAGCCCAGTACTTTGAGCATGCCAAACAGCTTTTGAAATTCATGATTACAAAAATTGAGTTTTCATGTTTTGTCTCACCCTGTACCTTGGGATGAATTATAAATTACAGGGCCATTGTTGACTAGTGGACCGGAAGTAATTGAGGGCCCTTACCCGACAGTAGTTACGCAAGCATCCGGAAATCAGGTCGTCGTAGTCCAGGATTATTTCTATGGAAAATACCTTGGGTATCTTAATCTTGAGTTTAATGATGAGGGAATTGTGACGTCATACAGTGGAAACCCAATTTTGCTGAATGGATCAATTGCAAGAGGTTACTTTCATTTTACGTTTCCCGAAAGTGAATGTTGACATGGTTGAGGTTTGTATAAAAAAGACATGAAATGAATTATTTTGAGCACAAACATTGTGAAATGATGACATTTTACAGAAAATTACGCTCAATTCTGAGCTTTCATTCAGAACAAAATACAATAAACATAGTTTTCAACTTCATCAAACTCGCACTTCTCTTTCTCATTGACTATTATATTACTTGTTTTACAGATCCGACAATCCAAGGAGAAATGGTTGAATACCTGCGGGTTCTAGACGATATCAAGACCAACAAACTCGCATACTCCAATGTATTCTTAAATGGCGAAAGGCCTCTTTGCGGGTGAGAATCTCGACTGACACCCGACGCCTTCTTGGTTTTCACATCCGTTTACAGTGGAACCTGTATATCGGAACACCTCTCTAATCCGAACACCTCTCAATGTGAACATCTTTTTTCGGTCCCAAATTTGTAATTTACCATTGACTTACATGTTGATAAAACCTCTCAATGTGAACATCTTTTCTCGGTCCCAAATTTGTAATATACCATTGACTTACATGTTGATAAAACCTCTCATTGTGAACATCTTTTCTCCGTCCCAAATTTGTAATATACCATTGACTTACATGTTAATAAAACCTCTCAATGTGAACATCTTTTCTCCGTCCCAAATTTGTAATTTACCATTGACTTACATGTTAATAAAACCTCTCAATGTGAACATCTTTTCTCCGTCCCAAATTTGTAATTTACCATTAACTTACATGTTAATAAAACCTCTCAATGTGAACATCTTTTCTCCGTCCCAAATTTGTAATTTACTATTGACTTACATGTTAAAAAACCTTGAAATGCGAACATCTGCTAGTCTCTGAACACTTTTGGCCGGTCCCATAGTTTATATACAGAGTGGGTGGATATGCTATTTTATATTTGAAAACCCATGACCTATTTATAGCAACACTTTATTGAATAAAATATACCACCAGCATGACACATAAAATATTTTCATCCCCACCGGAAAACCTGTCTGACAAATACAATACAGTCGCCATCTTTTGCAATGTCAAAGAAAGCAGGATCATAGGCTACATTTATAATGTCATACAAGTAGATCAAGGTATCCAAGCAAAAATGGGTTAAACCTAGTGCTAACTTTGAAAAACCTCTTAAAAATCTGTTTCTTGAAATTGCTACAGTACATACAGCATCATGAGTGTGGACTTCATAGTCTAGATTTACGTTTATTGGAAATATCAAGTACTTATGAATAAATGCTTAATATAATTTTGATTCCAGAAAAAGGGAGTGTAACCTAGGCAACCTAATTGCAGATTCTTTAATGGATTATTTCATAGCAGATCGAAAGGAATCAGATCTCAACTGGAATGGCAACAACGTATCTCTGGCTCTACATAATACTGGTGGCATGCGAGCTTCCATTGATGCCGGGGGTAAGTGACTTTATTTTTGGTAACCGAAAAGCAGGTGTGCCAGTGTTCGATGTAAAATGTACCAATCCGCGGAGAATCTGCCATTCACAAAAATGGCAAATAGTATGGTCACTAAAAGTATGGCATCTTCCGCATATCTTTAATTGTATCCCTTGCCGTTATGATTTTGACATGGATTTGCCAATTTTAAACGTTTATTTCCATTGATATATTCTCCTTTCTTTTTTAATTATTTGCACATGGAAAATGTCCCTCATCAATTTTTAAATTTGAGATGATTCAATTCAAGTGGTTTACGCATTGTACATACTACATTTAAAATGTTTTCTTATTACAGATGTTACAATGGAAAACGTTCTTGCGCTGATGCCGTTCGGGAATCTCATTGACATGGTTGCTTTAAAAGGAGCTATCCTAAGGAAAGCGTTTGAGCGCTCAGTGGGGAGATATCCCGAAGTTGCTACTGAATTTCTCCAAGTATCAGGTAGGGAGATTTATGAGAGTAAGCCGTAGTGCGGCATTGAAAATCGCAATCCTATGTAATCCAATGGGAAAGAACCCGGATGTAGACGAAGTTGTACCTCTTATGAGAGCTCTTCAAACGTGAGGTAACTAAACTGAACAAAACTAAAAATTTATCGCGTATTGGCTTATTTTTGATGATACTAATTTTTCAGCGGTACACATACATGTAGTTCGTATTTTCAAACTGGTATATCATATGGATGAGCTTGGTATAGTGCTATGGATATCAGGAGCAGTATAGGTGATTTATTCATTTTTTAGGAATCCATGTGGTGTATGACGTCTCTAAACCCCCTGGAAGTCGCGTGGAGACCTTAGAAGTGCTATGTACGGAGTGCAAGGAGCCTATGTTGGAACCAGTTGACGACAACAAAATCTACAATGTTATTATGCCAGCATATGTTGCCAATGGCGGTGATGGATACTTTGTTATAAGAGATAATAAACTGGATCATCGTAATTTGGGTGAGAAACTGGATATTTATTGTGGTTTAGAAATTGCCGTAAAATCTATTTGAAGCGTATGATTACTGAACTAATATAAGAAACCCCAAAGACCTCCTTTATTTCACTGAGATAACTGAAACGATGCAGGCAACTTCAGATTACTAGAATGCGTCGCCTTTCGCCAACGTGACAACTTCTTATTTATAAAAATCCTTCTACTTTCAGGCATTCTGGACACTGATGTCTTCATCGCCTACATCAAAAAGCGTTCGCCTCTCTATCCAAGCACAAATAAGAGAATCGTTATTAAAGATGGTTCCAAAGGACCCATCAGCTCGGCTATGAGTTCATCGATATCTGTCGCTGCCCTATTAATAAGTGCCTTCTTCGTAAATCTGCTTTTCTGACACATTTGACACTCTTACCATTTTGTAATAGCGAGTCATTAATATGACCGCACGGGACATTAAGCAGGTGACGTCAAATATGGCTATCATTGGAAAGCTACCATTGGAGATATACCCATGAACTCTCTGAACGGTTTTTATTTCTAATAACATATTTTTAAAAAATATCAAAGATTTTCCACAACATTTGTACTAAATAAATCTAACTAGAATATTTTGCACACATTAATTTTTGTGTTAAATGTAAAATATGTTACGTTTGAAATATACGAGAACGCAGTACTCGTCTGAAAGAAACACTTAGACTATCATAGCTATGTTCCTCTGATAAACTTAAGTCACACGTCTTCAGAAAACACGAGAGCGTGCTATCATAACTGCATAAAGGATAACTGTCCCCTCTTAATCGAGGTTTCCATATAATATACAGGCCCGTAGCCAGGATTTACCGGGGGAGCGGTTTTGCCAAGGGGGGGGGAGCTTCTTACAGTTTTGGCAAAACATCATGCGAAAAGTTCTCAGAACGCTCCCTCCACATAGCAAATTAGCAATATGATGTGACCTAAACTAAAATTCAATAAATAACTTCACCATGACAAAAATGTGACGTCACGTTTATACTATTGAAGAAGTAGTGACGTCATATAAGACAGAGAAGATAACGTCATATACATCTCCATAATAACGTCAATAGCAACGGCAACAAACGATTGTTTGCTTGTTCACTTTGGCTTATATTTTGCGCGATTCACGACGGAATATAACTGCCAGCGAAGATGGGTTTGCAGAAAATGCGTTCAGCTTGGAAACGGTTGAAGAATTTTTTCACGAAAAAGAAAGATATCGTCATTATAACGACATCTGTCGGGATATTAACCGATCTCAGCATCCCTGATGTTGACTATCAAAGTAAGTAATATTCCAAAATGCAAAATGGAAATAGTCTACTTCCTAGTATAGTATTTAGCGTTAGTATATTTTTTATTTATTTATAGTGGTCAAATAGACACATAGCATTTTGCCAAACTTAAAATAAAACAATCGTTGTTTATGTTTTACTGTGATTGTAAAGAACTTAATCAAAATGATCCTTTCATTGTTGTATACTGTTAAGTCGGCATGGTGGAACGATATATGAAAAAACAATTTTAAATAGTAATAAATGTATGAAAAAACTATTTTAAATCGTAATAAATGTATGTAAAAACAATTTTAAGTATAAAAAACTTGGAATGTTCAAAATGCGATCACAAGAGTGATTTTCCTACATAATGGACGTACGTGAGCATATTTGGTACCACCACAACCAGTGTAAACTCCCATTCGATTGCCGATAAATTATAGTAATTCTCATTCCTATGTCAATTTCTTATTTTTAGATACAGGGACATTTATTGATGCAGACGCAGCATAAGGTAAAGATTAAAAGGTGGATTGGATCGAGTGGATTGGATTCATGTAAAAGGGGGATTGGATCGGGATTCTTCAAAATATGGATTTTCCTTAAAAAAATTATATTGATCTCCCATCAGACGATTAATGCTCTTTTCACTTCCACAATGTCAAATAATAGATGATATCATTTTGCTTGGGTAGACTAGAAAGGTGACCTGATACACAATCTTATTCATTCCAAGGGTAATTTTAGACATTTCACAAATCATAAGGCAGACTTTTCAAGTCGAAGATCCATATCATCTGTTTTAAATTCAAACAGAACATGGCAGAATGTCTTGGGAACACCCACACGTCAATTTGAATAACAGCTTTTATCTACCGATCTATATGTTTATTATGTCTTACTAATGTTGATTTACAAGGGAGAGCAGTTAAATGCTTTAGAGTATCTATCAACTAATTGAAGTATGTATTTGTCATTGCTTTGGCAATTCCTTAAAGGGACCAAAGTAATCACAAAATACTTTAGGCCGGAGGAAATTGCTTAGAGGGAGATCAACTAAAAAATCCATATTTTGAAGATTCCCAATCCAATCCACCTTTTACATGAATCCAATCCACTCGATCCAATCCACCTTTTAATCTCTACCCAGCATAAGGTCCCCTGTGTATAATACGTTCATAAAATGTCCTATACCATTGGCCCTGTTTTCATTTACTGATACATGAGTACTCCATTGGGCAGCATAATTCCCTTTTCAAATATGTTCCGACGCCCCTGAGTGCATATTTTCCAAAATATTTGCTAATGTATGAAAACATGTTTGCAGCGACCAACCCGCGTCATAATCCCTTCCTACAGAAGGCCCTGGTGAAGACAAAGAAACAGATAATAGAAGAGCGGACAAAGCAAGAGGAGATGAGGTCGGAGATTGCTCAACTGAAGGTGGATATTGTTGAAATGAAAGCCACAATTGGTGAGAAATTAGCTTTACTTGGACGTCACAAAAATCAACAATTAAAATGCACGAAATAACTTTTCAATGCCGGGCAGAAAATTTATAGATTGTAAAAGAGGACTTATCAAAAGACGCAGAGAGGCTATATCTATTAGAAATTAACATTAATAATACTAGATGGATAGCTGTTTCATAAACTGAATTGATGTAGAAAATTAATAATAAACTCCAAGAAATAGTAATAGAGCTCCTCTGCTACTACATGCAGTACGAAATCCGTTTCAATCGTAATATCCGTTTTAATATTTGTAAAATAAAATCATTTAAAGTTTTAGGATTGCCATATTTCGATCGTTTTTTCAACAATTATACAGCGACAAGAACAAAACCATTTACAAAATTTCTGCTTCGCAAATTTTGGGGTATTGAAAACCCCAACCGCATTTTTATTTTACCTGTACGTACCATTTGCTGCTTGGCAGTTTTTGGCGAGGTACATTTTTATAAGAGTAAAGTTTTATGGCAATTTTCAAAGTGCATTGCCTGTATACAAAGTGCACTGTCAATGATGACAATCTGTCGGACAGGCGCGTTGCCAAACGTCACATTTATTGAATTTTTTTTTATTGAACACGTAAGTAATATTAAAACCGACAGTAGAGATTTGGATAAATCGAGACAGAAGCAGTTTTAAATTATATTCTATTCAATTGTTAGATATGAAGGTTATATGAAGATTTATTGTTTGTCGGTTTGTCAACAACAATAGGGAGTTTAAGCTTGCATATAAAATCGAAATGCCAATACGTTTCGCCCATCCATACAAATGCATCGCTTAGATATTTTTCGTTCACGTTTAGGTTGTGAAAAACATTGCAAGCTTAAACTCCCTACTGTCATGAAATTAAACGAATGATAGAATAGAATGGATATTTAGTACATGTCACCACCACTAGTTATAATCTACAACATTTTTGTGGGCAGTGTTCGGCGGGACGCGGCCGGCGTCTGTAACAAATGGCAGGTGGTGACATTTTGCATGTCGATGCACTGTCAACAATATGTTGCCATTATAACCGATCAGTTTCTTAGACTCTGCGACCCAAAATCGGACTTAACACTGTTACAGTATTGTAACTACGCTTTCATAATCAAAGAGCAAATCTGACATGGCCCAAAACTTCATTTTCACAACACTTCAAAAGTTCATTTTCACATCAGCTTTATTCTGTGTGATAAATAATCTTTAGGGACATGCTATGTATTCTGAAATGTTTTCCGAATACATGCGATACTTGGAAAATTGCTTGTGTGAGATGTGTAAACTGATTGAAATGTGAAATATTTGATGATTGCTTAAAACGTTTAAAATGGGAGGTCGTTGGTGTAATTTGTATACTTAACGAGTACCCTGGATAAAAAGACTAGTCTTTGCGAAAATTCAAAACAAAATGGATTTATACTATCTCTAGTCTATACCTCCTTAAAAGCAGTTTTCGGAGTAATTGAATAGAACCTCCATATTTACATATGTGTACGTAAACTGTATTTCAGTCTCTAAGAGGGGAGAATTGAAGGCGATTCAACAGGCAAAGGGAACGTGGGTTGAGCCGGTAGAACCACCTCAGGTTGAAGCTGACGTCATTGAGTCAGAGTCAGAGATTACCATACCGAGTGACGACGGTGGTGACACGTTGACTGATGATGGTCTATCGATAATATCACTGCCGTATACACCGTGTATGACTCCCGAGACACAAGAGACTGCACCTGTTTTAGAATTTGCTCCTCTTGGCCAACAAAGACCACGTCCGGTAGAGTCCTCAAATCATTCGATGACCTCAGAAGTGGCGTCCATATTAGGGGAATCGAAAGCGAGAGATGAACGCTCCAGAAATCGACCAAAAACCTCAGCGTGTCCCAGTCCGCGTGAACGTAACATACCTGCTACGACTCGATGTCGAGATGACAACACTATTGGTCTGAACCATAGCCCTAGATCCAACGACAATCAATCGATCGTGGGATCATTATTCGAGGATAGTCCGCGTGAGGGGCAAACGGCTGTAATACGTCTAGGGAAAGAGGACAAGCATGATACTAATGAAATTGGAACTCACAGCCCATGGTCCTTAGGTAACCAATCTATCGTAGGATCACTTAGTCCGCGCGAGGCCCGTATGGCTGCTGCAGGTTTATGGCAAGATGACAGAACTGCGACTGGCGCTTATGTCACAGGTCAGAGCCCAAGGTCCTTGGGAAACCAATCCATAGTAGGATCACTGTATGAACTCAGTCCGCGGGAGGCCCGTATGGCCGCTACACGTCTATGGCTAGATGACAAATGTGCGACTGGTGCTAATGTCACAGCTCAGAGCCCTAGGTCCTTGGGAAACCAATCCATCGTAGGATCACTCAGCCCACAAGAGGCCCGTATGGCTGCTACAAGTCTATGGCGAGATGACAGAAATGCGACTGTTGTTAATGGCACAGCTCAGAGCCCTAGGTCCTTGGGTAATCAATCCATCGTAGGATCACTATACGAAGTCAGTCCACGGGAGGCCCGTATGGCTGCTACACGGCTATGGCTAGATGACAAAAATGCGACTGGTTCTAATGTCACAGCTCAGAGCCCTAGGTCCTTGGGAAACCAACCTATCATAGGATCACTCAGCCCACAGGAGGCCCGTATGGCTGCTACAAGGCTATGGCTCGATGACAAAAATGTGACTGGTGTTAATGGCACAACACAGAGTCGCAGGTCTTTGGGTAACCAATTCACAGAATCACAACAAAATGTTAATCCACGTGGGACCCACATAGGTCTTACGAACGTACGACCAGATGACGATACTGCAAGACAGACTATTGAGCAAAATATTCGTGCAGTCGATGACAATTCAAACAGTCGCAATGAACCCGCCAATTGTCAACCACGAGTAAACGTACAACGAACTTCACAACGCCTTAACGATAGAGACGGTAGAGTTTCATGCTCCAGTGCAGTCACTCGCACCAGAATTGGTGAAGGTATTTGCTCAACAACCGACCCACGTAATGGGTCATGTGGAATGGCACCGGTTGGAGATTAGACTAAGAACTATTGGTAAAAACATACGAACAATTTATGTAAAAACATGCCAAGTGCAATGGCTCTGAAAGGGCAAGCCAAGAAAAGGCTATAATAAACATTATCAAGGAGTGACGTGGTTTGTTACGAAACCGCTGGATATATGACATTGATACATTCCTGTGAGTTTGGAGAATCCTTTGAAGATAGTAAATATAAAAAAAATGAGAAAAAATATTTCAATTCATTTTGTTTTTAAAGACTGAATCACTCTGGAATACATGTCTCATCCATTCATTTTCTTAGTTTTCGACAGATATAATAAAACACTTGGTAAAAAAAGAAGAAACGATTTCTGGATCTCCAGAAGAAATCCTTTTGAACACACAACGCTTGTGCATGTAAACGTGTAATTGGCTTATTTGTATACCACTAAATGGATCTTCCGAAAGATCAGAAGAATGAGAAAGTATCCATAAGATAAAACGAGTAAATCAAGTCTTTTAAAGTATATGCTATATTCAATGTTTTTCTGACAAATTTCACTGGGGTAAAACGATGAAGTATGATTGGGTCAGGATGGCATGCCTTCCAGTAGGAGATTTTCGTAAGACTTTATTTTCTCCATTTAAAGCCATTGTGTGGAGAGTCATGCAATATTTTACAAGTTATGTTGCCAAGGAAACACAAGGCATTAACATGCAAAATGTCACCACCTACCAATTGTTACAGACGCCGACCACCGAACATCAGCCACAAAAAAGTTGAAGACTTTATGTTTTTTAAATATGTAAGCACTTCTGGCGGTGACATAAAAAGTAAACAAATAAAATACAAATTAGGTGGTAACAAAAATAATGTATTCTAATTACAATATATGGAGATCATATTTCTTTTCTTTAAAACACTGTGATATAATATATACCATGCAACATTTTTGGTACATAACAATTTATTATTCAATAACTGGAGTCAAATACATGTACAGAAATACCATACATGAGAAAGTCTTTAATAAAGTGTGTGGATTCCATTAGAGTGTGTTAAGTATATCTTAATTTGATTTTCTTTGGCACTACATTGGTACTTGTACTACTTTCAGGATATTGGCAACAAAACATGAGTTTAGTTTGAAGGATTTTTGTGAAAACAAAAACCCCTTGAAGTACCAGCATCTATAACAGTGTAAAAACATATACAGAATTGACAATCACCGTATAAGGTGTCTGCAATATTAAAACAATTAAAAACTACAGTAAAACCTGTCTAAGTGAACACCTCTCTAAAGTGAACACCTGTGTTTAGTGAACACCACTCCAAGACTCATTTTATATTGACTCCCTAAATAAAATCCCCTCTCTGTAGTCAAAACCTTCATATAATGAACACTTTTTGAGGCTCCATTATTGTTCACTATATGCAGTTTTTACTGTATGTACAAAAAATGTAAGTTTGAACTAAAATGTCAGATTCAGTTGAAGGTCTGTAATGTCTATACTACACTATATACAGATAGATGTTGTTTGCTATTAATAACTACATGTATCCTACACAGGGTTCTCCAAAGGATTTTTTCTTAAGTGGGTGCTAAATTTTCATTTTCAGAATTCACAGTTAAAATATGCCTATTTTTCAAGATTTTTCTCATTTTCAAGTGGGTGCAAATGGAACTTCAGGTGGGTGCAAGCCTGTTTTTAAAATCTCAAGTAGGTGCTGCATCGTCTTGCTTTAATGCTGGGGAGATCACTGCTACATGTTTCTATATTTCCGAGATTTTCCTCCATCTTTCAAATCATATTCTGATATGTCATGTGATTTTTTCTCCTCAATGATTCATACAATTAGGTGGGATAACTTATTTCATCTTTCTCGAGCGAAGATTATATCGCGCTTGTTGATGCACATATTCCTCATCCGCCTTCTGTAGCGATGAATTTGCCGTGACATCCTGAATACCAAACCATGATTGGACCATCAAAATAAAAGGGATTAAAACCCAGAGTCCATTGAAAAACACATGGTAAACCCAAAGATAGAGGGCATTACTTGTATTGAGGTTCTTACATCCTGTCAACCACTCGGGCGCATACGTCATCCAACCTGGAAGAAATGTACAATTTTAACACTTCAGATCTCAAGATCTAAAGATATTACATATTTTAAACTTAATATGTATATTCAATATTGTATACTTGTTGCTTCAGCTGGCAAATTGTAATTTTAAAGTGTCAAAGTTACGACACACATTTTTTTGAGGGGGGGGTTGATCTAAAGAACTAAACACACATTACATCTTGTCATCATAGAATGAGGAATATAAATAATCACATCCCCCTCCCCCTCACAACTGTATTTGAGAAATGTTGATATGTGTCATTGCATTAAGTCACACTATATCTAATTGAATATGAAATACAGTAATACATGTATATGTAATGACCCCCTCAACCTTTGCTGTACAAATACAGTTAATTTTTCGACATTGATCTTTTAAAATCGAAACGCCCCCCCCCCCCCCTTACCTCCATAGAGTTCACAGACACACAGAGTTATTTGAAGAAAATGACGATAAAGCTTGTCATTTACAATAGCGTAGATGAGCCACAGAGCTAGGAGACCATCGACTACGACTGTAAGAATCTCCAGAGATACGATTGTAGGATCAGATACGCCCCAACGCTTGTCAGCATTAGCATACTCTTTCCCTGGAAATATATTGAGATGGTCAGTGTCCTCCTTTTATCTCAAGTGGGATCAAAATTCTAACTTCAACCATTCAATACATTTCTACAGTTTTTCATTTTCTAGTCCTATTTGATGGGAGTGAATACAGTATACCAAAATAATACATGTAATACCAGCGCATGGATCTAGAGTGCTTAAAATAAAATATTGTCTTTTTTCTTTAGTGACATTATTGGTACTCATCAAGGACCTTAACAAAATCAAAATGTGGATAACAAAATGTAATATTTTCATTTTTTAGACATGGAATTTGGTATGTTTAGAGTTATAAATACTTTGTACAAACTTGAAAGATTTGTTAAAAACTGTGAAATTGGGGGACCTGTAAGTATCGCTAATCTGAAGTGAGTGGACCATCGACTAGATAATTCAAAGCTAGAGATCACTAAAAATGCCTTATCATGAAGTCCAGGTTACATCTCTTAGAATTCAAGCAAGCAGGCGATTCACCTCATTGAGCAAAGAATTTTCTTTGGTACATCATGGAGAGAAGGACTTCCAATTATCAATGTTATATCTACAGTAAAATCAGTGTACAATGAACATTGAACATGTATAGAGCCACAAAAATGTGTTCACTGTAGTTTATTGAGAAGAGGTGTTCACTAGATACAGGTGTTTCCAAGACAGTGGTGTTCACTAAGACAGGTTTTACTGTATGTCCAGTCTGGCAAATAAGGATTTTTTCACTATAGCCAAATTTGTCCAGAGACATTTGAAACACTCTCGCCAAAATATTTTTTGTCTGGCCATAATTTTGTTTAGTCAGCATGAATTTTGCCCTCACCTTAAACTGTGCATAAATCGCAAATGGTAAATTAAAACTGCTTAAAATAAGTGGAAAGGCCAAACATGTCTGTTTCCTGTTCAATGAAATTTCAGATTTGGGTTAGGTAGGTTGGAAAAATATTTTATTTTTCTTAAAAATCTTACTCATATTTTTTTTTAGGGTAAATTAGACAGAACATACTGATCGAATGTCTATACTAGAGTTGTATGTACTAACAATATAGATAACACTGGAATAAGACGATTGTGTTATAAGGCTACTGCTAGAGTAGACTATGTATCATCCAAGAAGCTTTTATTTCAGAGTTTGGAGAGATCAATATTTTAAAAATGGAGCATCTTTTGAATTGAACCTCTTTAAGATGAACATCATGAACTTTTTGTCTAATGAGGATGAACAAATAAAGGAATCAATAATATTATTCAAATGTATCAAGGAGTTCTAGACAGGTGTCTTTTGTTATAAATGAAGTTGTACTTCAAAAGTTTTTCATACGTTATAAAGATGGCAGTGCGATCAATACAAAATACCAATCCTGCTTGCTCACGGCAAAATTGAGATGATCTTTCAGTGTTTTTTTTCTAAATACTGATGATTATCTGGCTATTTTACTTGAAATTGTTCTTCTCTAAGGTAGGTGGCTTTATGTTCTTCTATTCTGATCATGTTTTAAGTAAAATTAAAAGCTTTATGAATAGGAATAAGATCAACTATGAAGTTTTTCATTTTTCATGAGAATGTCGGGGATAAAACCTGTGAAGCTTGATTACACCCATCGCCAAAATTGTCGAGATAGATGGCTATTTCTATCGCCAAATTTTTTTCACTCCCTGTTTTTGGCGTTTGGCGACCTCTTATTTGCCACACTGATGTCATTTATCAACATTCCGATGAGATGAGATGGATAAAAGAAGCAATACTTACAGACTAAAGACGTCCAATGTTTAGAGTCATCAACTGTTCCTGTCAATGAGTGGAATACGAACACACCTTCCTAAAATAACATAGCTTATCTGAGTGTCAAGTTTGACAAACGACAAAGTTCTTGGTCCTCATTTGGAAAGTTGTAAGTACAAGGTAAAATGCTTTCTACTCTGTGAATTTATGAAAATTCAAGCAAATAGATTTTTAATCATAAATTCACTGTCTAGATCTTTGGTTAATTTACAAATTGAGATTCACTGAATCTGAATCAGATACTGAGAAATCATGATTTTTAAAAATTATGAACATTTTCGAACTTACCAGAGAAAAGTGGATTAAAACATCAAATATCAGCCAGACGAGCACCCATTTATCTGCTTTTGATGATTGCCTACCAAGATATTTCGAAAGGACCAAGCTAAATAGCAGATATATTGCTGTAAGCGCCAAAGAAGCAATGGAAACATTTGTTAAAATTTGCGCCATTTTAATTTGAAGACCTCTTCTACAACCTTTAACAAAACCCTAAAGCTTGACACTGACCTAATCAACCCAATAGATAAAGAGTTTAGCAGATAAAAATATAAATTTATTGAAGAAATATATATTCCTGGGCTGAATAATACTGTATTACCTATCAAATATTTGAAATTAATAGTATATAATAGTGTTTAGGGTATGGGGCCTTTAGCACTGAACGAAACAAACTAACACTTCCGTTCTAGAAACAAATTCCAAGATAAGTAATCTCTGCATTTTAATGCAGATTTGCTATCTGTACCCGAATCATATAGATTCGAATATTGATAATTTGCAAGAAAGAAATAGCAGAAACAATCAGAACTGTAACTTTTGCTGATTTGGCGATCAGACTTATCAATAATGGCAGACCAAAGGTACAAACCAAATCCACAACAACAAAACAAGATGGCAATGTCGGAGAACAATAAACACCGAGTGAATTATTTTAGATTTCTCACCGAAAAATCCAAATTTAGGCGGCCAGACGCAATAGAAGAATACAGTAAGATTGCACTTTATCCGATTTCTTCATTTAAACCGTCGATTTTTTTAAATATTGCATCAAACTTTTTTCCTCTATTTATTTTATCTAGGCTATATCTGCATTGAACTACTGAATACCAAAGTGTCATTGGTGTTACACATGTGTCACATTTTGCGAAAAATTGAATTTTGAGCCGCAATTTTCTAATTTAATTTGCTTGTTCTGACTTATAATTACATGTATTGTAGAACATATGCAGGATGGTGGTGATGGAAACCAACTGCCAGCAGTTTCGATGGTTCAAGGAATACCAGCGACTGTCAATCTCCCAATCTCACATGCCAGTTTCACACTTCAGTAAGTTGCCAAATGGCTGTTTTTGAACTGTTGTTTTCACAAGTCATTGTTCATTTAAAAACAGACAGTGGATCCCAAGCCTTAGGGAAGACTCCCAATACCCCCATAAATGTGGGGTTATTTTGAGTTTTTTTTTATATTTAGGACATTTGTTTCTCTAACAAATGTCCTAAATATCAAAAAACTCAAAATAACCCCACATCTATGGGGGTAACTCCCAAGGGATCGTGAATTGTTTGTGGCCATTCTCAGCTTCCACCAATTGTTTTAATCTATTAGCAGAAAGGTTCCTTTTAAATTATTTTTTTCTGAAAAAAACATTTAATTTTGCACGTGCCTAATTTATTGGGGGCCTTTATTGATAATTTTTCCAAAGATTTTTCTTGCGTTGAAAACTATGTAACTATATAAGAGGGGGAGAAACCCCAGGGTTCAAAGATGACATACGCTTATAATGTAAATCTGTATTGAGATGACATCGTCGCTGATTGGTTAAGCAAGTCGATCGTTGATTGGTTTAAAACTAGGTCAATTTGAAAACTTTGAAAACCAAGATGGAGGGGAAACAAATATATGTACTTCCGGGAAAGGAGGTGTGCGAAGGAGAAAATCGTATGTCATCAATTGAATCATGGGGTTTTCCCTCCTCTTTAACTATATGCAGTTTTCTCTGAGATTTCTATTGAGTAAGTACCATAGAAATAAAACATAAGCATGGGCAAACAATTTTAAGGAGATCCTATCTAAACCCCTGAATTCTAAAAATATGCATTCATTTTTCAGGGATGGAACACCTATATACTTGGACCAGTCTCAGATGGCAGTTGCACAGACAGAAACTAGCTCATATGGGTAGGTATGGGGAGCCCATAGGGCAGAATAAGCAAAATTTAGATCATAATGGATCTTATCATAATAAATTAATGGAAATCATAAATATAACATGGAAAAATTGTAAAGTTCCTAAAAACAACAAACGATTTTGTGAAAGCAACTGGTGAAAATCGCCTGTTGCCTGTTGCTATAAATGAAACCCCTGCATTAACTTGAAGTTAATTTGATGATAAGATTGAGTATAAACATCATAACAATGTATAATGAACCATGGGCTTTCAAGAGAAAGGCCATGAATGAACTCAGCCCTTCTTTACGAGAATGTGGTGGCATGGCTGGCGCTTGCATCTTTAACCTTCCAAATAAAACACAAAGTAATAATAAAGGATCATTATAACCCTAAGGGATGAAGTTTGGTAGGGATATAGTGAAGCCCTCCATTCATCAGTCCATCAGTCTGTCCATGGAGTTAATTATATCTAGTTACAGTATGTAGTTTGTAGTTTTTTGTACACTGTAGTGACTAATATGTCATTTACATGTCATGGTTATTGAGTCAATAAAAGATATATATTACAAATGTATAATGATAATTTTTTATTCAAGCTATCCACCAATGGTGAAGTTCCTAGAAGAGCTCCAGATGACATACCACCAGCCTCCTCAGGCAGCCAAGGGCAAAGAGGGAAACAATTTACAGATTGCCATGACAACAGGCAGTCAGGCGGGGCTTGGGAAGGTATTGAGGGCACAAGGTGTGGGAAGGGGGGACACTTGAATATGGTGTGAGTGTTTAGTGAATGTTGTAGAAGAAAGAATGGCTAGCTTTGAGTCAAAATTTATTAATGATGATGTCAGTATTATTATTGTACATTGTCAGAAAGTGTGGCCAACAATACACTAAGTCATGTGACAGTGTTTATGGACAGTAAAGTCAGTCATATGAGACAATGTCTATAGATAGCCACGTTACAATAGACATTGTATAGTCATGGGACAATGTTTATCTACTGTCATGTGACAGTATTTACAGAATCATGTGAACATGTTTATATACAGTCACTGGGACAGAGTTTTCAGAGTCATATGAACATGTTTATATACAGTCACTGGGACAGTGTTTACAGAGTCATGTGAACATGTTTATAGACAGTCATATGTGACAATATCTATAGATATCCTTGTCATGTGACAGTGTTTACAGACAGTAGACACAATAATGGTGGTTGAGAATGTCTGAATGTTGCGTATGATTAAATGGCGTAGATTAGACTTGTGTATTGATTTGTGACTCTAATATCTGAACATCATTTTATCATAATATACACAAGGAGGGAAGGGGCTTACATAATCATATTATGCTCAGATAGACACTGACAATTATGTAGTGACACACAATGATATATATAGTGACACACAATAACATATGTAGTGACACATAATTTTGAAAAGTGTGGTAACGTAAAATGTGTTGCCACTGATCATGACAAATTGAAGGGACACATTATGACACACAATGACATGTATAGGGACACACAATTATACTTGACAGTGATAGGATAGGGCTATAATGTTAATGACTAATCTATTTTGTTTAAAGACAATATTTGGGACCTTGTACCTAATAAATGGAGTATTATTTGAAATGTGTCAACCTTTTTTGAAAGAATGGGTAAACAGTTTTTGAAAAAATACCATACATAGTTTATGCACTTTACAATTTCCATGTGGTACTTGAAAAATTGCAACACAATATTTTTACTGTGTCACTTGATATTTTGGAGATTTTGAAAGAGTGATACATACTTTGGTCATTTTTCTAAATCAGGGGATATTCATGTTTCACCAAAAAAGAAAAATGAATGAATTCAAGATTGTTCTTTTCAGGTTTTCATTTCCTTTCAGAATTTAGAGAAGTAAGGGGATATCAAAAGTAAATTGTCATTTTTAAATATAATTTTATTTAAATGTTTAAAAGGAATATTTTGGGGGTAAAGATGTTTCTATAATGTATCGACTTTTTTTATCAAAAAAAAAAAAATTCTACAGAATCAAAAATTTACATTCTACCAAGTATAAATAGCTTAAATTTTAAAAGCATATGTAATGGTTGGAAAAGCGGGTTAAAATTGTAAAAAAGGAGGGTAAGTTTATATGTTTTATATTGGTGTGTGCTTGAGTTGTATGAATGAGGGCATAGTTATCCTCCATATGGGGTTAGAAAACAGGGTTGGTGGAGAGAGGAACCCTGTAAGGTAGGCATACAATTAAGGAGATGAATTTAATTTTTATTTCAAAGTCTGTTCGGTTAATAGTGTTTATAACAAATACGATTTACTTAGGCATATGTAAATAAAAATAGACATTTCCGATAAATTGTGCCATCTTTTGTTCCATCAGAGAAACTATAATATATTGGCGAGATTGATGAAGTCATTGGTTGTACTTTCTCAAAATTAGCAATAAGTTCATACTATTTTTGCATGGATAGATTGCTACCTACAACTGATGACATTATGTATATAAAGTCAATATTATAGTTTCTCTGTTGGATCAAATATGGCACTATTTATCGTAAATGCCTATTAAGAGACAGTTTTATAGAATAGTATGATTTCAGTTTCACTTATAAGGCAGCATACTAGTGACTTGAGTGACCTTCAAAAACTGGCATACATATATTTTTTTACTAGTAGCATTATAGATGTCATGCCTATTCTGTCAACAGTTGTAATTTTATTTTATATCAATGCTTTGAGTTTAATTATACATATGTATGTGACAACAATTTTGATTGGATGTTCTTTTTTCAATTCTAATGAATTTAGACATTTCCGCAACTTACTGTTTATTTATTGACATATTTCATCATATAACACAATTCATTTCAGAAAATAAAATGAGGGGTTTAAGGGAAATATAGGCATAGATTTCTAAAATTTTGCTCCTAACATTTTACACTGCATATTGTTTGCTTCTTTTCCATAGATTAGACTCCTTTGTAAAAATTTGGACCATTTCCATCCTTGGTATACGCAGCTAACGGAAATTGACCGGTACGGGTCAAAAGCTGGACCGGTACGGGTTAACGGTTTTATTTGAATTTAATATAGCCATAACTTGCTCAATATTGACTTCCTCGTGTCTAATTTGAAATATATGATGCCTCCCGATGCTTTTAAGTACCCCAATTTTTTACAGATTTTTAAACGGACCAAAACTCTCTAAATGCGCATTTATGCTCTTTTCTCACGAGAACGACTGTCTCATTTTCACGATAACTTTTAGTACTTCTAACATATAAGATCTATTTTTCCCCACCAAGGTATGATGTAAATGACATGCTATTTACATCTTGTGAGTTTCAATGACGCGCGTTTGATTTCATAAAAAATGCCAAACTTTGTGACAAAAAATTTCATCAGCTATTGCCCCGAACCGGTCCGTCTTCTCGCTGCAAGCAGATTGCCTCGAACCGGTCCATCTTCTCACTGCAAGCAGGAGGAAATTCTTTGTCACAAAGTTTGGCATTTTTTATAAAATCAAACGCGCGTCATTGAAACTCACAAGATGTAAATAGCATGTCATTTACATCATACCTTGATGGGGAAAAATAGATCTTATATGTTAGAAGTACTAAATAAAAGTTATCGTGAAAATGAGACAGTCGTTCTCGAGAGAAAAGAGCATAAATGCGCATTTAGAGAGTTTTTGTCCGTTTAAAAATCTGTAAAAAATTGGGGTACTTAAAAGCATCGGGAGGCATCATATATTTCAAATTAGACACGAGGAAGTCAATATTGAGCAAGTTATGGCTGTTTTAAATTCAAATAAAACCGTTAACCCGTACCGGTCCAGCTTTTGACCCGTACCGGTCAATTTTCGTTAGCTGCATATACCAAGGGTGATTTCTAGTCGCAATGTCAATATAAAGATGGGGACTTGGCCTGGGGGGTGGTTCGTAGTGGATTTGGGCTCCAGGAAGATTCTAATGTTAATTTCTATGTGTATATACATGTTACTGTTCTAGGCATTTGAGTAAATACATATCATTGTTGTAGGCATTTGAGTTAATACATATCATTGTTGTAGGCATTTGAGTAAATACATATCATTGTTGTAGGCATTTGAGATGTTGCTGAAGCCTGGGGATTTTGTCCTTGTTGAAAGACCCACAAATCATAGAGCACTCACAGCTGTAAGTAAGCATTGAGTATATGATAACAGCCTTGAGTAACTTTGACAGATTTGAGACAACAGCTTTGAGTAAATATAGTTATTAGATGTATTTGAATAATTGGTACAATTATTTAAAGATTATTATTGAATATTTTGATAGGCTAATTAATGTAACTAATGCCTCAATCACATTTGATCTACAAAAACGGTATGGCGTCAGTAGCTTTCCAAAATCGACGGAAATATGCAACATAAAATATGGGGATAAGCAGTATGATGTAGTTTTTTAAATCGATTTTGTGAAGCTATGTCTGCCGTAGAGCAAATGTGATCGAGGCTTAAATGTCCATTCTTCAGCTGCGAGCCTTAAATGCTAGGATCATAGAAGTTGAGACTGACAAATTTGGAATCATTCCCGAGTCTTTGATGTACCAGATGGGCCGTTGGCACCCAGCTGCAGCGCATAGTCAGCATTCTGATGTTGCGAGGGTGTTGTATACAATGCCTACTGCGGCGGACCCTACTGGAGCCACCATTACTGAGCAACGCAAGCTGGAGATTTATGAGGTATTTTTCATAATATCTTCAGATGCACTGAATTGGTTCTCAATCAATCAATCAAATCACATATTCACTCTTCTTTATCCATTAATGATAACAATTTATCCATAAGTGAACTGGTGTGTGTAACTGCACTGTTCAAATCTGTGATGAAATTTTAGACTTACATTTTGTGTGTTTTAGATATGTCGGAAGTACAATATGTTGATACTGGAGGATGATCCCAATTATTTCCTACAATTTTCCTCTGTGAGTATTCTCCCTTAAATGTTGTTTCTTGAAAGAATTAAAAGCAGTTAACTGTATAGTGTGTACACGATGGATTTTAATCAATTGAGGTACATTTTTTCATAAATTCTTTCAATCATCAAGTTAAGCAGGCCCACGTATAATATTTTTAGAAGGAATTGAATTACATATTTGTTTATTTTTTTTCCTTTCAGTTTACACATTACGCTTATCAAAGTCAGATTACAATCATTTTGAAAATATAAGTTACAGGGTGTTCCAAAAGTAACAGGACTGGTGCTGGCATTTTGTTAAATATGCACCAATCATCTTCAAAATTTTACATAATATACATTCATGTGTCCTTACTCAGACTGCAAAGTTTCGACAAAATATATTAAACTTGGGTAGAGTTATGGTTGCTTTAGTAATATGACATCACAATACCCGGGGCAATGCAAAAAGTTACAGAGACATGAAGCATTTTGTACATACCATATCATTTTGTACATGCCATATCAAAGTTGAAATGCAACAACTGGTGGGAATTCCATTTGTTTTACATCACTTGATATTCCTATGCATCCTCTATACTTTGAAAAATAGGCTTTTCTTTGGTCAGTACAAGAGTAGTACTCTGTATCCATGACCCAAACACATGAGTGAACCCATTTGAGGACATGTCACGCAGGGTCGATTGGACAATTTGGAGAAGGTCATTCTCATCTTTAAAGGTCTTACAGCACTGATAAGCACTCCGTTCTCAATATAAGTAAAGATTAGATATTGCATGATCAGAAGAGTATGGTGCATGGCTTTAGACCGCAAGACCTAGCTCCACTATAGCTGCATGGTCTTTAATGGTGACCTGCGGGCAGGTGAGCTATCAAGGTGGATGGCTGGCTTCAAATTGCGTCTTTTCAAAAACGCAACTGTGAATTGTTCAGACTGTTATACATACCTGTAGTGATATTCCAGGAAATTGGATAAATATTATTCTCATTATGAAATTATACTTGAATCTGAGTTGTATAGCAACATCTTCACAACGAAGCAACTCCTTAAGTAAACAAGAAGTGTTGTATTATAATAGATGAATCTGATACTTTCTTCAGTAATACAAAAATGTTAAATATCACATTTTCAGGAAAAAAGTTGCCCCGGGTATTGGGATGTCATGTTACTATAGTAACCATAACTCTAACCGCATTTCATAATTTTTTCTGAAACTTTAGAATTTTAGTTGCAATACTTCAAAGTACAATTTGTGAAAATCTGAAGACACTCAATGCAAAATTGACAAAATGCCAGCACCAGTCCTGTTACTTTTGGAACACCCTGTATTGTTGTCTTCTTGAATAACTAGTCTTCTGCTTAATACAGGTGCTGACCCCCAGCTATCTCTCACTTGATGTGGATGGAAGAGTTCTCAGATTTGACTCTTTTGAAAACACAATGGGACCAGGGTAGGTTGTTTTGGTTTCAAAACAGGCAATTCTTTAACACACTAGTGTTTGATTTTATCATCCGTTTTTTGTCTACATATTTCATTATTTGCAGATTTTCATGGTTTTCCATATTTGGAAATTGCAAATAAAAGAGATGTTTTCAGTATCTGTTACCATTTTAAGATATTTTGAGCGCAAACAAGCTGATTTCACAAAGATGGGATTATACACTGATTGAGCAGTCGGTGAGGGACTGTATTGCAGGCTGTCAATAATTACATTAGCTTAAAGCAATCTGTAAGACATTGGAAAAATTTACAAAGCATGTGAACTAAAACAATGAAAATTGTCCTATAAATGTCTAATATCCATATGTGTTATACTTTTTCCACAGCTATTTAAATCTTTTGTCTGAACTATTTTGGTACTGCTATATATTGCTCCTCTTCTTGTATGTCTGAAAAATCTATTGAGTTACTGATTGAATTTTGAATTTCAGCTACAGACTTGGTTGGGTAACAGGTCATACTACACTAGTGGACAAGATTGTTCATCATATACAGGCTGCAGAGCAGTCCCCAAGTGCAATATCACAGGTAAAATAGTCCCCAAGTGCAGTATCACAGGTAAGGTAGTCCCCAAGTGCAATATCACAGGTAAGATAGTCCCCAAGTGCAATATCACAGGTAAGATAACCCCAAGTGCAATATCACAGGTAAGGTAGTCCCTAATTGCAATATCACAGGTAAGATAACCCCAAGTACAATATCACAGGTAAGATAGTCCCCAGGTGCAATATCACAGACAAGATAACCCAAGTGCAATATCACAGGTAAGATAATCCCCAAGTGCAATATCATAGGTAAGGTAGTCCCCAAGTGCAATGTCACAGGTAAGGTAGTCCCCAAGTGCAATATTGCTACTTAAATATTGTCACAAATATGCAACTCTACATCCTTCGATCACGGGACCTCGAAATCCAGAATATATTCTTTCTTTTTACCCCCTGCGATAAGCAGTTAGCATTTCCCCATTAAGAAGTTGCAATCTGATTGGCTGTCGCAACACTGCGACAGAAATCATGTATAAGTCATTGCGCATAATAAGATCACGTGATTTTGTTTAATCGAGCGCTTCCAAATTGGTTATAGCAGGGGGAAGAAGGAGGTACGGATTCTGGATACCTGCTTAGGAGGATGGCAACTCTACTGTAAAAAATAAAAATGTTGAAGCAAAATAACTGCGGTTTTCACCTTGAAGTTTTGCCAATTTGCCAAACTTATCATTGATTATTGGTTATTGCAGCTTGTGTGAAATTGCTCTTTTCCATTACATTCATCTATTTTAATTTCCGTAACGATGAATGACAATTGATTGAAATGTCTTTTCAGTTGGTGCTGTATCAGATCCTCAACACTTGGGGTGTCTCTGGATATAAAGCCCATACAGAGAGGTGAGTATTGTTTAACTTTTTAAGCTACAAGGTGGGGGATCTTGTTACTCCTGATGTTTTCACTCATTGCCATAGTGAGGGAAATCTCTGGTAAAAACAATTGAAAAGTCTCGCCAAAATGGTTAACAAATTTTAGAATTTCGTCAAAAGGTCAGAAAAAAGTCAGGGAATTTTTAAAAAGTACTGAACATTAAAATTTTCAAAATTTGGCCTCAAGCTGCAAAGTGCAGCAAAGACATATAAAATGAGAAATTAGAAAATGACATGCAGACCCTGATTTCATACATATACCCTCTTCTGAATAAACACAATCTTTACAGTGAGAATAAATCATTATGTAACCTCATATTCCATTAGTGTATTCTCTTTTCTCTCAGGGTTGCTGAACTACATAAGCAGAAGAGAGACTGTATGCTGCTAGCAGCTGATAAGTATCTTAGAGGTCAGTACAATAGTACAGGGTAACTCAGTTTTTTCACCTGCATGCATTTTCATGCATATTATGGTGAATTAAAACATCCTAATCTTTCATCATGAATCTTGAAAGCCTGTGGCTTATGTTAAAAATTCTAATATGATACGTGACATCAATGTCAAATATATGACCTCAAATTTTATTGTGGCCATTGCCAAAGACCTCAATCGCTACGCGATTTCGGTCTTTTAACAATGAACAGAATAAAATTTTCGGTCATTATTACACCATAAATCATAAAATCTCGGTCTTTATTGCTTAATTATAAATACTATTAGTCTTATGGAACAGACCTGTTCAAGGATTTTGGCCAAAAATCATCCCAAATGATGCATCCACAATAGGGGCATATAATGTCAAAGTTCTTTTTTATTGATTTTCTTTACAAATATGTACACTGTTCTCTCAGCATGACAAGTTTGGAATCAATCTGACTATCCTAAGTACTTTAATTCAACCATTTAAAAGTTGGAAGTTTGAAGAAACTGGCCAAATTTTCGCATGACGTCATGATTGACATATATCTGTACCAGAGTAGATATACCCCAAAGTGCCCAGAGTTTGACCATCTTTTACTGCCCCAGTTATTTTTTGACTAAGAAAATAAATGCATTTATTGAGAGAATATATACAAAGTACTCGTTTGTTAAAATATCACATTTCTACGTTCCCGGGAAATGTATCTCTGAAGACGTTACAACAAGTTCACTTCAGGAAATACAGGGTTTGCAGACATTGTTATGACGCGATTTGGACTGAAGAAGGTAGGTTGATTTATCGTCGTGGATTTCCCTGGCTTATTTTCAATTTCTAGGTCATTCATTGGTCAAATGCTTTGAAACTTTGCCAAATGCCAGGACGAGGCATCACATTATTTCAGCCACCCGCCGTTTGGGAAATTTTGAAGCGGGTAAGTTGTTCCGTTGTTTTTTAGGTATTTACCTTATAATTTATGTGTATATTTCAAAACGCCGGCCACCTCGGCAAACAAGAGATATCAAACTTTAGATTGGGACTGATTTCATTGGAATACATTGTATATTGGCTTAGAAATGGGAGTGCAAAGTTGACCCAGGTCACAACGACATAATTTTGAAACAAACAAAATGGCGTGAAAGACGTCGTTGAATTTTTTTTTAAAACGTCAAGAAATTGAAAGATTTCATCGCTGTTACGCTTCCTACTCTCTAAAAAACCAACTATTGATTTGAACTATGCCCCAATAATGTATTTTTATCATTTATCGTATATCCTTTCAGAAATTATTTATTTTAGAAACCAGGAAATGAACCATAGTCTATTATCGCCCACTCTGCTTTCAAGTTTTTCAATGTGGAAATATTTCGGTGATTTGTTATGTATCAGAGGTCGAGATGGTTATAGCAGTCCATTTAACATGTTCATGTATAACAATCTATAGTTATTTTGTGATGATTTTCTTCTTTCACCTTCATTTTCAATTGTAAAAAACCCAGAGCCTTGATTGATTTTCTTGCAGTTCAAATTACTGATATGCATACATGCCATACTGTACTGACATACTGGTAGTCTAGTTTGATTTGATATTAATTCATGCTTTTAAATACTAAGTAATTTGATCATGGTTTCATTTAATCACTTATCAACAGACATACAATAGTCTTGCATCAAGCCCTTGTACTTTTTCAGAGGCCCTATTATCTATTAGAAAGTGTGTATGTTAGTGGTACATTTTTTGTGGGGGGAGGGGTGAACATGGACTCATGCTTGAATATAGAGGTCAAGGGCCTATTTAGCCCTAATTATTAAGTGTAGGCGGCATGAGATAAATGAAGCATTGCTGGTATCGGTCACATTACGGGTTTGGAAAAAATCCAAATCAACCTTACATATGTTACTATATTTTGATCCATGTTGAAAGTCTCATTTGGTGACTGATTTTCAAGACATTTTCATCAGTATATCAGACTGACATTATATTCATAAGAATGTATTTTAATTATAGCCATTGAACATTTCAGATCTCAGCATCAATGGCAGAATCAATGACCAAGGGGCATTCTAGGCAGTGGCAGGATACAGCCCTGAAAGAGTTTGAAATAGCAATTGATGATTTGCCACAGGTATAAATTTTACATAAACATTTGAGTCTGTGAGTTATACCAAGATACAGCAAATGGCAAATCTAACATACTGCACATGTACACTGCTGTAATCATAACTTTTGTATGTAACATGTATAAAGATGATCAAGCTTGGATTTGATATTCATGTTTTTGTTTACATTTATCTTCTCAAGTATTCAAGTTTTAAAATTCAAAGAGATACAGTAGTAAATCTCGGCATACCCCAGTACATAAAATGTTGGGTATAATGTCTTAAAGAGAGAATCAGATATAGCGAGAAGGCCTAACAAAAAATTGTTTCAATTTTAGAATATTTCTAGCTCATGTCATTCCTTCTCATTTCTATTTTCTGAAAATCCCCAAAGTGCACACTTTATTTCAGGTAAACTTAAGATTTTTACAATAATGTGTTATTTTTCTATAAGAATGGTACCGTAACCATTCTTATTATTTGGGAGAATTTAAACATTTTTCACCTATTTCTGCACTTTGAATCCATGATAACTTTACCAATTTATAATATAGGCCTATCGTGAATCTTTTTGGAGATATTGTAATTGAGATTGTAAGGAATAGATTGGTGGGTCAATCGTACATGTTGCTTGTAATTTTGTCACCCCTATATATCTGATTCTGCCTTTAAGTCTAAAATGAAAAAGATAAATGAAGTTCACTCACATTTTGAATTTTGATATCAATACAATTGAACATGTAGGAATTGTAGGTCTACTTTTATGGCAGGCAGACTCATTGTGCTAACTTACATATTTGATTATTGTGTAAACAGGAAGTGCAGGTTACCATCAGAATATAAACAGTTATCATATAAACTTTTATTTGTATTTCCAGGTGCCTGGTGAAAAGTCATCATTAAAGTATTTGGGATTACGAAAGCACCTGTCCCATGAAGCAAATAAACATTTACTACCCACTAAACTGGTAAAGCAGCTTCTACATGCTTCCTACAAAATAACAAAAGAGCAGTTAAGGCACAAACGTTTGTTTGCATATTTCCTGTCAGAACTTAGTGGATCAGACTATAGCCAAGCATTCATCGATTCGGTTGCAAAAAAGATTTCTCGATCTAAATGGAAAAAGGAGAACGCTTTCATTATTCCTGTATCAACATATAAATCTACAAATCCTGATCTTACAAATACATGTACACCTACTAGTGACAGAACCTTTAATGTGACAAATGGAACTAAAATTTCTCGAAGAAAACTAGTATTTTGTAGTTCTTGTCACACAAGTAAAAGAACAATTCAAATCATGAAAACTGTGTCTAAAAAATAGAAATTATTAATCGACAAAAATGAATTATTATGTCAACAGGAAAAGCAGAAAAGGAAAAAACTTAAAGAACAATTGATTAATAAAGAAAACAAAACTTTGAGTTTAAAAAGAAAACTCCAAATGAAAAATGAAGAGGAATTATCAATGAAAAAGTTACAGAAACAGAACATTAGATTTGAGCATATGTCAAATAAATCAGATGCAACTATCAATGCTTTGAAAGAAGATTTAAATAAAAACAATGAAACAATAAGTCAAATTTCAAAAGAAAGAGACAATTTAAAGAAAAGTCTAAGAAAAATAAAGAAGAGAAATAGACAAAGAAGGTCATCAATGATTAAAACTGTTGAGAAAGGTGCATATAATGATAAAACAATGCTTGTGACAACTGAGTTACAGAATATGGGGGTCAACGCAACGATAGCTGGTAAAATTCAAAACACTGTGTTGACTGCATACTGTGGTAAAAGACTAGAATGTACTCCATCGAGGTATACATTTCTTTATTTGTCATTTTTAAGTTTATAATCCATTTTGAGTACTATACTTCTACTTAATTTTGCCCTACTTATTTTGGCCGATTTGCTGCTTGATCATTACATGCATTTGGTGGGTTCTTAATTTGGCGGAATTGCAATATTATAACGCACTTATGGGAATTTAGCGGATCCGCCAAATTAAAACAGCGACCAAATTAAGTAATAGTACAATAATTTTGATGCAAAATCAATAATGGTTTAATTCTGTAGCAGAGTAATTGAATTATAAACAGACACATAAACTTCACATAATTAATGTTTAATTGCATTGGTATAATGATCAGAGGTTTTTAGACAATTCCTTAGTCTTGCATCAAGACCTATCTGGAAAAATAAACTTTAACTTGTCTTATCCAAGGGATTCCTATTGATTAGAAAAATGATTCAGCCTATTTTCACTTTCTGTGGCACCAGTTGGCACTTGGTATCAAATGTACCATGCCAGATTGATTTTTTAAATAAACTGTTCACATTTGATTTCAGAACTACTTCTGGCAGAATGGTTCGTCGCGGAGGCCTTCTAAGTGATGCTCAAGTTGGACTTGAAATGGAGGCAAGAGCACAGAATGGCATACGTGTTGCCCAGGATACAACAACAAGGAAAGGCCTAGAACATGTGTCAACCATATGGACTTTTAATGATGGCAATTCTCTTGAGTCTAGGGTAGAGAATCTTCCAAACCACACATCAGAGGCTCAACTAGATCATATAAAGAACTCTTTGGAAAAAACAACATCTATTTTAGATCAACTTAATATTCCCAATTCTTCCAAACAATCTATTGCATACATAACAGAATTCATGGGGGATCATGTCAATAAAAAACTTCATAGGGAATTGGAGTTAGAACATTTGGACTGTCTTAAAAAGTTACTTCAGGAGGATATCTTAACACCAGCGCAAACCATCAATTTGAAAGAACTTTACCTGAGTGCCTGCCAAATGCATTCTGGTGCAAAAGTAAGCAGATCCTTTTATGAGGGAATGCATCAAATACAACCAGATCTAGGGTTATTAGGCAAGTATGAGCAAAGCAATATGGCGCGGCCAGGAAGAACATTTGAGGCAATGGGTGGTAAGATTGTTGAAACAATAAGTTCAGTTTTTAGTCCAGATCATGCCAATAAAAATGAGTTTAGCCGTGCGGATGTCTGGAGAGGCTGGTGTGCTGAAAAAGACTACAATATTCCAACATTTTCTTATGTTAATAAGAACAGACACTTGTCAAGTTGTCAGGTTCAATAAACTGTTAAAGTGATATATTTGACATAAATTAGTATTTTAAGAATAATGCTATGTATTTGTACACAATAATGGTAAACTATTATGATAATGTTTTACAATAGTACTTTAGGAAAGTCAAACATTATATTTGAAATTTAAGACAGCAAAACAGTCTTGGCATCAGATACTTAATAATATCAGCAGACCTCCCTCTGGATATCGATATATGGTCACATATCATATTCCGATATAGTCCGAATTCTGAAGATTGCGTTGGAGTAAATCTAATGTCACTTCTGGGTTAGGTACTCCGACAGGGCAAACGTAGTATAAAGGTACTTTCGAGAACGTAGTCCACTTTCCTCAAAATATATTCGTCTCAAAAACTATAAATAAATTGAGCAAAACTCTACTATGTGTACAATGAAATAGAAATGTTTAAAATACAACTGTGAACCTACTGACCAAATTCTTTTAGAGAAACCTTGAATGTAGCTTGCTGTAATTTATTAATTGTTTATGTTACAAATAATTACCTGTTGTTTATTTTTACTTGACAACAGTATGTGAAATAAACAATATAAATACCTCAGTATACACATCTATAAAGCAAGCCACGTATACAGCACAAGGGACACGAAACAGACGTCACGACACAGCACGAACGAGAAAACAGACCACGTGCTTCTGTTACTCGCACTATATATACCCTTTCACTGAATGAGTAAAATACTCAGATATGAAATACTTGGAAAGTTACCAGGGGTACAGTAGATCACACTATGAATAACTTGACAACACTACAGACATGAGTATGAGTCTGGGAAGATCATTAAAGCTATTCCATATATCATTGAATTTTATGAGGAACTTCTTTCACAAGGTGCCACTCTAAGAAACAAAGATATTTTAATCAAAAATGCCCTTGCAAATGATGAAGTTTTAGCCCAACTAACAGCAGCAGATGCTTTCTCTTCATATCATAAACAATTTATGACTATGTTAAAAAGTCATGACGTTTTGTCTGTTGGACCCTACATTAACAATGCTTTTCAATTTTTACAAAATGTAGATAAAAATAATGCAAGGGAAATTTTAAATGGAGAAAAAACGTTATTCAATAGCGAGTTCTTGAGAACTGATGGAAAAAAATTGTCCATGCCTGTTGGAGCTCAGTTACTCTCAAACTCACAAAATATCATAGATAGAGCCATAGACTATTTGATATCAGGTTGTAACCTGGGTGCTACTGCCCTTAGGAAAATTTCTCAGGAATATTTTGAGGAAGGAATATACTATTCTCCCACTCCACATATGATATCAATGTTGAGTGGAAAAGAGTCTCACAGCGACAGAAATGAATCTAACCTGGGACAGTATAGTCAGCAGAGACAAAAAGAGCCAAGTGCTCGTTGGGATACCATCAACAGTAAAGTGGCCATGAGGGCAAATAAAACTATTAATAAAGTCAGAAAAAATCAGGTTTTACAAAATGCAATTAGTTTAACTCGAAAATTGGAAAGGAAATATACCACTGTGACAATAAAAAAGCATTTAAAACACATTTCAGAAAAAAACAAGCCTCATAGGCAAGCAAAGTTACTAATTTTTGAACGACAAAAACTTAGCAGGGAAAATAGGGAAAAAAGACTGGCAAATGCAATATCATCAGATGGTAAATGTGTCACAAAGGGTCAAGTTGATCTATTGTTAAAGAATAAACATACCCTCCTTGACAAGAAATTTGCCCTCAAATCTCAAATAAATTATATCAAAGCATCCTTTTATGAGAGTGTTGAATTCAAAAGCCTTTTCACCTTTTCTGAAAGAGGTAGAGTACATACTATTTTAAAATTAAAAGATAACTTAATTGAGCTACTAGGCCTTGTGTATGGAGATAAGAGAAACATTTTTGATGTTTTTAAATAAATTGAATGTTTTGTTTCTGTCACTATCAAAAAGTGACTATATGGTGTAATCACCACCATTAATGTTCACCTTTTTTATTATCAGGGTAGATGTACAGCCCATTCTTAGAACTTATAGGTTGGTGACAAGGAGGATTGGCTCCCAGGATCGAAACTCGATATTTTCCAACAATGAAAACGTCGAAATGTCGTTATTTTCTGAAATTAAAACCGACTATAAATTCAAAATAAACAGTTCAAAAGATTCGAACCAATATCTCGATCATTTCTTGTGAGTTTTGGAATTTTTCGTTTGGAAATAAGACCAAAATTCACGATTTAAATGTTGAAGTGAACAAAATGGCGGCTGTTTGAATTCGAATTTTGTATTACGACATACCCATATATGGGACAGAATATCGGTGGTGCACTCTGGGAGCCAATCCTCCTTGGGTTGGTGACATTGTTTAAAATGCATTCTGGGTGGAAACCATTTGTCTTGATACTGACATACATTGTATTACATTATGTTTTCCATATGTATGGTACAGTATCTATACATCGCTACTATATTATGCATTTTATTCTGATCATTTTGGTGCAAAAATGAGCAAAATCCGATAAAATTTGGCCGAGTTATATCATTTTGTTTTCGAGTGATGTAAGAATATATATTTACTAGTACAGTAGTTAAAGGGTAGTAAACAAGTTACCATAGCAACAAATAATAACTTATTATATTTATTAATCATTAGATGTATAATAATAATATATATATATATATTTATTTATTGACTTGAATAATAATACATATAATACAACATACATTATTTAAAACAGATGTGCATTATGTGTTTTTGAGAGATACAGTACAATGAACCAAAATGGTTGTTACCATGGCAACAGTTATCTTTTCATACAATTGTAACAGCTGTTGTAATTTTAAACTCCCAGGGCATTATTATACAATACCTTGTTGAATTCATATTATTCTCAAGTCATCCTATGAATCAATATGGTGTAATCACCATAAAACACACCCAAAATAGCTGAAAATCTCAGATTTTTAGTAAAATCGCTAAAAACCCTTTCAATTAGTACATGTAATGGTCAAATGTGCTATTAAATACCCTAAAATACCTTATTTTCCATCAAATTACTTATAAATATGGTTTTTATCACTTTTAACATTGATTTGAAAAAAATATTTTTCACCAAATTGATCTTTGGGGGGTAAAAATGAGATTTTTGACTATATTGTTCCCATGGTTACCATAGCAACCACTGTTGCTATGGCAACTAAATTTATTTTTTTGGAAAGCTGATGATGTGTCCTTTACATATGTAGAGTTTCAATTAATTTGGGTTAACTGTTGATGAGAAAATATACTTTAAAAACTGGTGATTTTAGTAAAAAATCCTTGAACAGGTCTGTATGGAATATAAATTTCAATACATTTTTATGCGTAAAAATGAATACTTCAGAGTTGAATTTATCCTCTTGGTCATGTGTCTTGGGCATTTGGGGATATAGCTCCTTTGTCTGTTTAATTTAGGCACCTGCATTAATTATCCCTTATCCAAGACATTTGAGAACATGATTTAATTTTCACATACCTAAGATTTCTGGGAACATGCCTCCTTTGTAATATCTTCAAAGCTCCATCTATTTCTAGGTATGGCTGAATGGTCAGAGCCCTCTGGTGGCATGTATCTATGGATACGCATCAACAACATCAAGGATTCAAGAGAGACCATCAAAGATAAAGGTTTAAAAAATAATGTAAGTGAAATGAAACCTCAAACTTGAGTTGGCATTTTAATAACTTGAGTATGAAGGGTTATATTAGCAATTATTATTTAAATTATAAAATGGTAAGTACATTTTTATCTACAAAAAATCTACAAAAATCTCCATGTATTTATATATAATAGGGTTTTTAGGGACTCTCATCCTTTCACATTTTACAAATGATGTATTGATAAATCAAAAATATATGTAATCATGGATGCGATTACAAAATCTATTTTTTTGTTCTAAAGAGTAAGACATATTTCTCTTGTTATTAGGTGCTAGTTGTGCCAGGTAGTGTTTTCTTGGCATTCTCTGATGAGCAATGTGCCTTTGTTAGAGCCAGCTTTAGCAACCTCACTCCACAGGAAATAGACCAGGTTTGTGGCATTCTTTGTTTTAGTCATATTGGAATTGCACTTTCAAAGTTCAAGGTCAAGGTCGATCAAGGTCAAGGTCAATATTGAGTTGGAACCCTGGGAGCCCCTGCAATCCTCCTTTAATCCTAACTTTACTTTCCGAATAAGAATTTAGATATGGGGTCATGTATAAAAGTTGAAATTCAAGATCAAAAATGCAGAAATCAGAATTTGTTAGAACCGTTTAACACTAAACCTTACATCAAAGAATTATCTTTAATCTGCCTTTTTTATTGCTAAATTCCAAAAATCGATATAAATGAATTAAAAATGAATGTATCGTGTTTTATAGGGAATCATGTTCCTGTCCAATCTCATCAAACAGGAAACAGGATATGGATTATCAAACAACCAAGTGAACAACTTCATGGGACGAGCAATGAAAATGGAAAAATTTTGATCTCTAAACTGAAAAATTGTGGGCAAAATATGGAACAGGTATTTAAGGTTGTGTGTCAATGTGAAACTGGGATTAAAGGTTGTGTGTCATTATGAAACTGGGATTAAAGGTTGACTCTCATTATGGAACCAGCATTAAAGGTTGGTAAAAAATTAATGAAATTGACACACGTCAGTGAGTGATCTGACAAAAATGGGAGCAACTGAGTGACACACTCTGCTGAAAAACTTTGGACCCTCTCCATATGAAATGTTGAGATATTTTGATAAAAAAGGTAGCATTAGGATTTGGCACCCTGTCGAGAAAAAACTGGTGAAAATTTCATGGTTGACAAATGTAAACAAATTTCATCGAGACATGTTCTGAAACACAAAAAGTGTGGAATCGAAAATGAATAAAGAAAAAAGGCATGTAGTTGGCTAGATCTAAATTGTATTTTACAAAATTAAGCCAATCAGGCAGTTAATTTAAATATTGCAAGATACATTTTTCACTGTATGGGAATTTTTGCAATACATAGAGTTATGTATATACTATTTACACACATTACTGCATTTTGGATGTTTTTATACATAGGTATAATATTTTCATGGAGGCTGTAGCCTTTTTTGTGAATGAATTTAAATTGTTAAATAGTGCTGAGCCTTGTTATGGAACTAAAGTGAAAGCCTCGGGCAACTCATGTGACTAACATTATGGTTGAGTCTAATTATGAAACTAGAACAAAATGTTTTTTCTTGATATATTTGTAAATAAAGGTAGTATCAGATCTAGCAAGCAACCCGAAGAAGACTTGTTCCAATTTGAGATCTTTTGGCTCCTATCATTTTTTTTTCAAAAACACTCAATGTGCATTTTTGAGAAACTAAGGTTTTCTACAAATGTGGTCACCGTATTTATTTTTGGGAGAATTTAAACACGTGGCTTGCAATTTTGTAACTGCCTATAGATCTGATTCTTCCTTTATTAATTAAGACCTTCAGATGCGTTTGATTTCAGGTCGACTCATAGTGTAAATGATACCTTATATGGTCTGGGATTATACAATATACTTAAAGTATATTCATTTCGGATATGACCTTATTTGGTCATATGTGTCTTAGTCAGAAAGATTGTAGTCTCATCATATCATATTACAGTAGAATCTGTGTTAGTCGAAAACACTTTTGGTACCACTAAGTGTTCAACATGGGTGGTATTCCACGAGCAGAGGTTGGTTTAACAATAAGTCAATAGGTTGCGGGACTTAAAAGAGTGTTCCACTTATGGAGGTGTTCCACCTAAAGAGGTGTTCCACTTTACAGGTTTTACTGTATTTATAACAACAGGAATGTAGCTATTTAATATAATATACAACTGTATACAGGAATATTCATTTTATGAATGCAAGTTTAGAAGTCATGTATGTTGAAATATGTGAATAAATAATAATGAGTATAGCTTTTTTAACAATTCTTTGTGTTCTACATTAAAGGATATCACCGCCTTGAGTATCGGCTTATTGTTATAGTCATACTCCAATATCATTTATCTACCCTCAGAACTGGGGCAGATACATTATATTGGCCTTGAGATAATCACAATATCCCAAACCTCACATTGAGTAATTTCCATATCTCATGCTTGAGCCAGTTTGTGGGAAGGTATGATATCCATCCCACTCATTGGAATTTAAGTTTTACTTCATGCAGTATCTCATCAGAAGAAAATTGAAATAAAATCAAATAATTTATGACAAAGTTAAATGGAAAGTGGTCCGGCATTAATGATGGAAATGGAATCAGTACATAGTAAATATTTACATCTTTCCTCTTAGAACTATGAATATATCCCTTGGAATGTACACGTAACTCTCTGTTAAGCTGTCTGCCTGGTTATGCTGGTCAAATCATTATGCCAATCTGACTGAAAAATTTTATTTTGACATTTTGTACTGCAGTAGACGTTTTCAGGAAGTGATGCCATCTTTTGATAAACCTAAGAAACCAGGATATTTTAATCCGATTCATGGTGTCATGGCACTGTGTCCAAGCAAAAATATTTCTGAAAAGTTCTTAGGCTTTTGTTACTTAACACTGAAACCTCCACACATGACACCATAGATCGGACCAACATACGCTAGCTTCTTACGTGAAAAGCTGGTGGGGACTGGAAAGGTATATTTACAGATTTAAGAGTTAAAAGAGAGCCTGGCCAAGTGGTTGCTTTCCAAAAATGAATCACAGGAAAACAGACAGTTTTCCTAAAGAGGGGAAATACCTAGAATTCAAAGGTGAACTTAATCTTCATGTATAAATTAACCAAAAGGACCATACAAAGATAGGTTTATCTTTGAATTCTGGGTTGTTCTCCCTCTTATTGAGCTATGTGGGTCTAACATTTGATTCTTCATCTATCAACAAACTCAAGCAACATAATAATATTTACAAATAAAATAGATCATATATATAGTCCTTTATTATGAATCTCTAGACCACTTCTAGATCATATACATTGACTGCTAACTGAAAACACATCTGATGTATTCAGGTTTGAATTAGTGCAACTAATGGCAGAATCAGATCTAAAAAGCAATCTTTCTAAAGAATTGTTACAATTTTAGTTTTGGCTCATACATACCATTTCTGCCATATGTATTTTCTAAAAAACACCTGCAAAATTAAAAGGGCTCTTAACATAGTACAAGTAAATTTGGTTTGCATTACGCTATAGTGTGCCATGATTGTAACATTTTCTATACTTCTTGGAGAGGCCTCTAGTAAGACTAACATTCAATGAATAAAAATTACAACGTATCTTTCTCCAAAAACAATTTTAGCAAATAAAAATTGCTGTATTCATGTTCAGGAAGACATGGTTTTCATATTTAAGGCACTTAGCGTTTTACAAAATGCATCATCAAAATTGATCATTGAGCGAGCGCAAGCTTTTTAAAAAAATGAAAATGAGAGCTGATTTTTACAACAATTTATTTCAATACGGCAAGTTGTTTCCTCGGAAATCACATTTTAATAGAAAACCAGCAGTCTCTGAAGTTGAAACTCCATTTTAAGTTAGAAGCTAAAAGTTATGATCTACTTTAATATGTGATTATGCAAGAGATTTCTTTAGGCAATCTCCTGTAAGGGTTATTTTTATTTGGCTCATAGTTGACCTCCCATATTCTTCCTCAGGAGTAATGAATTTGTATTTGAATATTCTCATGTTTATCAAACTATTCAAGTATGAAGCAACTTACTAATACTTTAGGCAAATTACTTGGTCATACCATGTACATGGTTAAATCCTCGTCCAGTTAAATATTAAGAATCGACATAGGTAGGAGGGGTCAGGCGTCCCTGAATCGTTAATACTCTACTTAAAAGGCTGGGGTTTCATAAGACGCAGGCAATTTTCTTGGGTGGATTTGACTAAAATCGCATTATCTTGATGATATTCTGCGACTGTTTCAATATTCTAAATCATGAATGCTAATAATCTTGTCTGTTAAGTTTTCATTTATATTGCCTTACATGAGAAATTCTAACGAAACCTTTGAGAACCTATATACCAAACTATATTTATTTTGGGGGATGTCAGTACTGCATTTCAGGTTATGATAAATGATCATAGTTTGATATGATATAGTTACAGTATATACCAATAAAAGAAATATACTTTGAGACCATTATAACATATTTAGCAGTTATGTCCCTATCATTGAATATATGCCTGAGGTCTGTCACCAATATAGCCCGAGCTTGCGAGGGTTATATTACGACAGACCGAAGGCATATATTCAATGATACGGACATAACTGTTGTATTACATACTTTTATATCATGGCTACGTTATATCAATGACGCCACGTGTCTGTGTGCGAGTGAAATTAGGAAGAAATGAAACATGACGTCCCGATGACGTCATAAGATTGTCATGGTAAAAGGTTTGGCGGCTATACAGGAATATATAGCCGACCTTCAGCTCCATTGACTTCAATACAAATGCTTCGCTGGGTATGTAATACTAGAAAATATACATGTATGTACAGTATATATTTACAAGTAGTTACACTCTCCTCAAAAAGTTTGGAAACCTAAACCCTTCATTTGGCAATTTATTAATTACTATTTTGACAATTTGCAAAATTCCATTTAATCTTTCAGGAAAATGTCTGCCCCTTGTTGTAATTGAGGGCCCAAACAGGCTTTAACATGTTATTGAATAGGGCATCTATGTTGCCAAACTTTCAGTGGGTAGTGTACTTACAAGACAGTTGATGCCTACGTGCATTTGTAAATTGTAATACAGTTTTGTATGTACTGGCCTCTTGTATCTCAACTCAAAATTCTAAATTTCTAAAAATGGTTTGACTGAGATTGTTCACCCTGTAAATATGGGTCACCTTTTACAATTTACATGGGTTTGGTTCACCCTGTACATGGGCACCATTAACTTAACTCACATGGGTCACTCTGTACATTTCTTAACAAAAAGAGCAATATAAAACCTGATTCTAACAATGAGTTAAAGATCTTTAAATCTTTTTTTTGCATTTTGTACAAATAATACCCAAGGCACTAAATAGATGGCTCAAATTGACTTCCAGCGTGTACTGTGTAGGCTGTAATTCTCATATGGACTTTCGGCTAGGTGTACTGAAAATCTCAAATGGGTGCACATGGAATTTCAGCTTGGTGCATTAATTCTCATATGAGTGCATGAACTTTCAGCTGGGTGCACCGAGACTCAAATGGGTGCAAATGGGCTTTCAGATTGGTGCACCAAGACTCCAATGGGTGCAGGGCATATTTGCTTTAATACTCAGGACATTGTCTTTACAAAATTGGACCATTTATTTGTACCCTTATAGGCGGCACTTTGTGCTGTGGTTTTGTGATATTTATATACAATATATTAAGTATTACATACAATATCATCCAATCAACAACACATTTTTGTACAGTAATATAATACAGACAATATGTATGTTATACATACAATAACATACGCTTCAGTCAAAATGACACGTCAAACAATATACATATGTTGATTTGATGTCATATTATATAACTATGATGGTGTCAAATTCAGCTCTAACGAATTGCATATTTTGCTGTATGTTTTTGTATACATCTTGATCTTGATGGCTGCACGCTGTTGCATATATGAAGTTTTAAATAGTCCGAATTCTTGATGACATTCAGTGTCTCAAAGGGGCAAGCTTTTCTACATGGGTTAATGACTCCTAGTTTTTCCATGAAATAGTTCCAAAGTAAGTATGTACATCCATTATCCCAATAGGCATATACCAGTATATATGTAATTCATAGTGTTCCTTTGTGCATATTCTAATACTTTTATCTCCATCATCTTTCATTATTCATGTAGATTTAGTGGTTTGTATCCATATTTTGTATATAAACTTTTTGTTTAAAACACTTAATGATTTTGTGTAGTGACGAAAAGCATCAATTTTGCATACATAATATTTTAAACTCCATCTATATCCATTTACCATGAAGCTTAAACTATATCCACTTCTAGCGGACCGACAATCCCGATGTTCATTTTGAAGTCTTTCATCATTGGCATAAGTCCTAAGACGGCATATACAACAGCGGCAACTACACCCGCAAGGACCAATAAGAATGTACACATGCTATACATTGACCACCTCATCGATAATCTAGCCCTTCGGCGTGAGTCCTTAATATCGCCATAATCCCAGGAATCAGCTGATGTAATTGCGTAATATACTGCAACGACTCCACATAATGGGCATCCGATTACTGTCGCGAATAATGACCATATAAGGTTACGGTGATGCTTGTAGCGTTTTTTGTTATCTGCGGCCATGCTACCTCTGTCCATTTCTGGGTGGCCATTGATTGGTGCTTCGAGTTCCGTCATGCTCATATGATCTTTCTCTCTTGGCATTTCAGTGTCTGAATCATCCGCTTCACAGCAGGTCATGGAGATGGGACACGGGAATACTTAAACGGGGAAACTGCAAGCAAAAATATTTAAAAATTAGACATTTATATACAGTATTATCAAATATGTTTTCTCTCAATACAATAACTTATCTACATATGGTAGAGCAATGTAAGCAAATAAGGCGTTAACATACAAAATATCACCACCTGCCATTTGTTACAGACGCTGCCTGCAGAACGCTGTCCACAAAAAATGGAGACTATAACAATATGTCACCATTTGTGGTGGTGACATAACAAAAATGCAAAAAATCATACTTAAAATACTATTTTATCCTCCAGAGCTCATGTCAATATTACGTCTTATGTTTTTCTGCATTCAGTCTATTCAACACGTGTTATAAAAAGCAATATGAAATATGAAAAATTATCAATACTTCACAACTGTTTCAACATAATAAACAGAATGAATCAATAACTGACATGCTTCCACTTGAACAGAGCCCGCATGAAAATAACCACATGTTCATATTTTTAAATTGAAAAATGTGTGGAAAAGAGTGGAATCAGCAACGGATAAAGTAAACAGGCATGTAGTTCACACTCTAAATTGTATAGAAATACAAGAAAATGAGGTACTTCATTCAAATTTTAGAGAGAAAAAGCATGAAATAGACATGAAATGTGAGGAAATATTTACTGCGTTATGCATACACCTGCCACCATTGAGACAAACATAAATAAAATATATACATTCAAGGCAATGTCACAATCATTTCTTAAGTCATTCAAAAAACACAAATGTCTCAATGGATTTAGAGTCACAAGATAAAATAACAACTTCAAAATTAAAATTTCAAAACAAGTTAATTCTCATTTTTAACATGCTATATGCCAGTAGCAAATATTAAAAACATATTGATTTTTTCATCTCTACAGAAAGCCTTTTTATGACTACTGTAATTTGATTTTCCAGTTTTATTAGTAATGTGAAACTACATGTATATGCCATATTGTAGACATAAATAGAATATGGGCATATAAATGTGTTTTTGTACTTAATATCCATGTCATCAGGTTAGCTCTTCTTTTCCCATAATCCATTGATATAAAAATAATTTCTTAAGGAACAGTGATCTCCCAAAGATTTTTTCTTAGGTGGTTGCAAAATTCTCATTTTCACAATTCAGCCCAAATTGGTCAAAATATGCCAATATTTTATGATTTTTCTCATTTCCAAGTGGGTGCAAATGGATTTTCAGGTGGGTCCAAGCCTAATTTTAAAATCTCAGGTGGGTGCTGCTGGGGGGAATGACTGAGAAAGGCAATAACTTCACCTTTTACATGAAGGCGTATATACTTGCCATGCACAAACACATCTAAACTTATCATAGAGGAACCACCTTATGTAAATGCTAGTTTCCTTTATGAGTTGAACTTTGAAACTCTTAATGGCATGAGGCCACCATCAACATCACACCATTCAACATTCTTAATCTATTATTTAAATATTTTGCATCCTTGAAAGCAGTCTAAATTGCCACCTTTCATATATTGTCCAAATATTAGGTTAACCAAAAGCTTATCCCAATAATTTGTTAGTGTATCTAAATACTTTCTGGATATTCTTGTAAAGGAAGCCCTGAAAGTGAGGCGTCATTCCGGGTGTTTCCTCTTGTTATAAATACAATTTTTCTTGAAATAAACCGTCACATGCTGGATATTTATTTTTTAGGTACTTTCAAAAGAGTTCATCAAGGTGATACACTATACAATTAGCATTGTTTATGAGTGTGGTATATCACTAATGCACACCTTTTTAAAGCCAGTTCTCAACAAGCAATTATTTCAAATCCCCTTTCACACTTACCGTCATGTTTCATGTCCAAACTTTGATTTTCCCGAATATTCCAAAGCCAATACAATAATTTTGAAGGTGTTACGGCTTCACTAATAGTCTTAAAAATTTAAAAAAACGAAATCAAATCACAAAGCCTTGTACTATTAACTCTCTTCCTAATCCAAATGTGTGGCTCCAAATTGCAATCAAGTTTAATATTGTAATATATATATCTTTTATTGACTCTTTAGATGTCATGACCTGACATATTAGTCATTACAAAATGAAATTTCACAAAACTACACTACACTACACTAATAGTGTTACAAATGATGAATTCTATTTGTACTATGACCTGCACAATCAACAGTCAAATGTTAATTTCTAAAAGCAGGTGATAAAGCCCTGATAAAGCTGATAGCCTATTGATTACATTATGATTAAATTAATACAATTTAACAGGGCATATAACCTTAAACATATACAGTGATCTCCCCAGGATTTTTTCTCAGATGGGTGCAAAATTCTTATTTTCACAATTTAGACCAAAATTGGTCACAAAATGCCAATTTTTAATGATTTTTTTTTCATTTTCAAGTGGGTGCAAATGGATTTTCAGGTTGGTGCAAAATCTCAGGTGGGTGCTGCGCCCACATGGTTTAACGCTGGGGAGATCACTGATATAGTTAATGGATGTTGCCCTGACCTTATCAACATTACAAAGCTGCATATTTTTGGTGAAAATATTTTCCTGTTAACAAAATTTGAAATTGAGGGGGGGGGGGCATTGCACAACTTCTGGAAAATGTACCAAATCTGAAAACTTATAATTGTGAAACCAAAGTTTACTGAAGAACAGTCCTTGGATATGTAAACAAAACACTGTATTAGAAAACATCTTAATTAAATATTGAACTTGAAAAATGGTCAGTTGTACAAATAATCATACAAACATATTTGACTCATAAATGTACATCAAGTTATATATCCTGAATGAAATTGCTTTTATAAACTAATTTCCAATCTGTTTAATTAGCTTACGAGTGCATCTAAGGCCATCAAATACCCTTGACTGAAAAGCTGTAAAACTACCCTCTGAGGAAGGTCAAAGATTTCAAAATTTGATGTTTAACCAATTACGAACAAACAGTTGAGCTAATATGTATAATTATTTATAAAAATGAACATAAATTGCCATGGGTGAGTGATGACAGGATTTGGTTTCATCAACTTCAAATCTTACATAGTTTAAGAGTGTGAGAACATGTGCATCAATCTGAGAAAGGGTATTACTTGAGATAATTTGAGTCATTATTCAACACGGCGCGGTAGCCAAACTGCTTGCCTACTATGCACGCAGTTTGAAAGACTGACAAACTGCGCGCCTATCAACATTGCATCATAAAAGTTGGAGTCTGTGTTTTCAAACGTCATTTTAAGACATTTATTCTGAATTGTTTTATAGTTCCACACGTCCATTCGGTGGCGATTATATGATTTAACCATGTGATAGCGAAATGTATGTCCAGATGAACGTAGGTTTAAAAATATAAGCAGATTAATACAAAAAATTGACATCGATTTTTCGATCACCGATACATAAGTTGATATGGCACGTTTCGCAGAAATAGAAAACACTTGGGTTTTGATTCACAGGTAAATCTCAACCCAGTTCTCCCGTACAATACAAAATATTTCGTATTAAAACAGATGAACATGACAGAAAGAAGTAATAAAACACAAACTGCGCGCCTATTTTAGCTAGAAATCACAAACTGCGTGCATACTCTTCCAAACTGCGTGCATATTATTGATGACTTCTCAGTGATGCAGGCCTATGTGATTTCATGGGAAAACGTAAGTAAGTTGAAAAGGTATAGATTGAAAAGGTTCAAATAAATCAAAAACTAAAATTGGGTTGATGGTTGACAACCAGTGGAAATGTACATATTTATATTTTATTTTGTTCTTGTCTATATGATTTTTATAAAAATATGAAAATCGCATGAAAATGGTTTTGTTCTATTGGGGTCCTACTAAAAGACGCCCAGGTGGCCCCCGCCTAGTCCCCATTGAAGTGCCGAACTTGCCTTACAACTTTATTTCAAACTAACACTATTTGATGCATGGTGCAACATAAATACAATGCGTTCATAAAAATTGTGTAAATGTATATATTGAATCCTTTTTTATTTATATTTTTGATTGATGCAGTCCAAAAAGACATTTCTTAGAATTCAATGAATTCCTCATTATAAAATGCTATAAAAATTCACAGTTTTAGCAACATAAGTAAGAAAAAGATATAAAAATCTCACTCTTTCGACTCTTTCAAACAAAATACAGTCGCACCATCTTGAAATAATGTATAATTCATATTTGGCGTCTCATTTTGACTATTGTAGCTCCATTTACGGATCGTCATCCTTGGCGGCCTTGTCAAAGCTTGATAAAATCCACTACCAAGCTGCTGTTATATGTGCTGGGGTACTGCATGGCTCTAACACCTCAAAAACTTTAAAATGTTTACAGTGGAAATCGCTTACTGACAAAAGACACGAAAAAATCTAAGACTGATGTTCAAAATTGTAAGAAAGGAAGTGCCTTATTATGTCCATAGTCTTTTTGACCAACATCGCAACCAAGCAACTAGAATTTTAAGACACTCTTTACCCTTTTCCTGCCCAAGAAATATTTCAATGAGACTCTCCAAAGCACCAGTTTTAAAACTTATAAATGATTGGAACCAGCTAAGCCAGACTTTTTGTGAAATTCAAACCATTTCTAGATTCAAAAGCTCTATTAAACTGATATTTATCCCTATTTCAAACTTCATACCAACTACAAAACTAAATTTAAGTAGAACCAACGAAAAACTGCTAAATAGGCTTCGAGTTGATTTTGCCCTTAAAGATCATTTCTTTACTCATAATTTTACTGGAATAATTGACTACAAATGCCTCTGTGGCTCTACTGAAGACACAAAGCATTTCATTCTAACCTGCCCTCGCCATACCCATGAACGTAATAAAATGATGACTGCACTTCGTGAACAAAATTTATTGTTTGATACTCAACTTATTTCTAGTAAGACAGAACAGGTCAAATACTTAATTTATGAAAATGAACTCACTATTGATTCTCAGAAAATCCTGATAGATATAGTGATGCAATTTGTACAGGCCTGTTATAAGTTTCCATCAAATTAATGTTATTCTTATTTGTATCTTG